CACTTGATACCTCTGAAGATAGCAGCCTTACCAGGGCTATTCAGCCCTATTATTCAGCCCTAGACAGGGTGGAATAATAATAATAATAGAAAGACAGCTTATATAAACAGTCATTTCACAGAGGAGGGATCTTTCTCATCTCTAGTGCCTTTCTCTACAAAAAAAAAATAACTCAAAGCCGCTGCTTTGCCAATGCTGGGGGCAGATATCCTAGTGCATGGAAATGCACAGGAACAGACTCTAAGGGCTGCTGCTGATGTGAGTTAGGACAAGATATCCCTTAGCATTAAATATGTGCACGATCAAAGCAGCTTCGTATTTGCTTTATGCTTTCTATCTGAAGGCAAAAAAAAAACAGCAGTGGAAATTTTAAACACTGTTTTCTAAGACCCAGAAATGATGATTGTTTCTGGTTAATGATTGAAATCTTGGTTAATGTTTACTCTTGGTATCTATCAAATGAGGTAAACAGAGTTAAGATAAAAAGTAGGGATAATTGTGAGATGCTGCTTGCACGTTCAGATGTTAACTCACGCTTGAATAGTAAGTAAGGCTTTATGTTGCATCACAGCTCCATTTGATTTTCAGTAAAATCTCAGATCTGAACAATCCTGAAGTTACAAGGCACTGAGACACACTTTTGCTATTGGAACTAACCTCTTAGTAACCAAAGTGGTGTAAAATTAAATGTTAACGAAGTTCCTGTTAATAAATATGAAAATGAACACGCCAAGTAACATAGGTGAAGAAGCAGGGAGGAACATCACCATTTAAAAATCCAATCTTAAAAGCAAACTTAATTGCCGAGAAGCTCCATTCCTTACACAGAACTGCAATAACTCATGTGCCCATTCTTTCTGTTTTGCCAGGACTGCTTCATTGGATTTGGAGGGAATGTAATCAGAAAGCAAGTAAAGGAGAAAGCTAAATGGTACATTACTCACTTTGATGAACTGCTAAAGGAACTGGAAGAACGATAAATTATACAGTAAAATAATATATTTAACAACTATAAGTCAATTATACAATGTAATTAAACATATATTTGTTTGCAAAGTTGTGTTCTGGACTTTTTAATGATTCTGGGTGTTGGGTACCTTCCTTCTCTGATCTGAAACTCATGTTGCAAATGGCGACATGCTACTCAAATATTTTGTAATGTAATAGTTAAGATTTTTTTAAACACCTTTTCCAAGGTGTAAGAGATGCAAGATGGTTAAGTACTTTCCCTTCCAAAGAATCTCAGAAGTAGGTTAAACAGTGAACAGATAGGTAGGAAACATTACTAAATATCTCTGAGTTCATTAAAATATGGCTACAGGAGAACCTGAGGTGTCATCTGTTACTCAACATCATTGTTACTCAACCTGTAGTCTAAGACATGAGATATATGCAAATGCCAGATATATGCAATATTCATCAGCATCCTAGAAGCATATTTTAAGACGAGTGATACAGTGTTTCACATACCTCGTTAAAATACAAGCAAACTCTAAAATGTTTTGTCAGACGGTCACAGTTTACTTAAGTGTTTTATTTAACAATCCTTCCCTGCTAACCTATAACTGTACAGAACTTGACTCGCCTGTCTTTACAAAACGTTTGCTGATTAAGAAAACCCTAGGAAACTTATCTGGCCTCTTTCTCTGCCTCAAGTGTGGATCAACCACCCTCAAACTGTTTGTGCCAGAAGCCTAACCTGTTCTAAACAAGTATTTCTCTGAGCTTCAGCTAATGAATTCTAGTTTCTTAAGGCTTTGTCTTTCATGGCTGCAATGTTTGATCCAAGAGGGACTTTATCCAGAACTCACTTGATAAATTGTGCTTTTTTTTTTTGTCAGCAAATCCCTGACAACTTTTGCAAGTATGTCTTTTTAAGCAGCTCTGCTGACACATCATGGTACTTTTCTTTCCCTGACTTATAAGAATATAATCTGAGATAATGTAAAAAGCTTTACTGATGGCAAAATGAAAGTCACATCTTCCCCTTCCATCCACATAATGCCATCACAGGAGAAAGATGGGTTGATACGACATGATTTGTCCTGGAAAAAAAACACAACAAACTCTAAGCAGGCTCTTATATTCTTTGTGTCCCCACATTTTATTTATTTCTTGAAACTGAAGATTAGGCTGAGTGAGTGCTTCAATTCCCAGGTTCTTCTCTTCCATCCCACCACGCATTTAATAGATAGGAAGATAAACAAGTGATGTGCCTATCTTTCAGAACCTCACACTGTCTCCGCAAGATAATCACTACTGGTTTATGCAACTTGCATGAAGTTTCCTTAATTTAGTTAGATTAAATCAAGGTGAAGTGATCTTGTCCAATTGTTCAAGCATCACCAGCAATTAAAACAAACACTGGTTGCCTATTCTGCTACATCGTCAGTAAAGATACGTGGGAAAAGGGTATTCATGGAGTCACAGATAGTGACGAATGGCAACTCTCTGTGATGCCATCTCATGTTTCTGGCAAAAAAACAGAGACAATAATAAGTTACAACAGTATTTAAATATTAAAGAAGTAGAATGATTTAAAAAAAAAAATATCTAGAAGCGAACTTGTAATGGCTTCTTAGAGAAAGGCAGAGATATAAGCAGCTATACTGAGTATCCGTAGACAGAGCTTAAAAACCTTCACAAAAGACAAGACAGACAATGGTTGGCAGGATGCTCACCAGAACGCTTCTGGGAGTATTAAACATGATCTCTTTTAAATTCTTCCTGAGAAAAATCCAAGCCAGCTCCAAGGGCAGCCCATATACAATCAGGCTTTTGTTTAGGCAGGAGTGCATGGACAGAGCAAGTGTAAACTCTTTCTGCTCTCATTCAGTGTATTCCTCTGCCATTCTACAGTTATGAAGCCAAAGAGAAGTGCTTCTCTTTGCTGCAGTTTTCTACTGAATTAAAAGGCCACTAAAAAAAAACAACTAAAATCCAGCTAATCAGCTATAGCTGCAGGCCCTGCTCCTATAAACGTTATGACATGCTTCAAGTATATGTAATTCCACTAATGCCACAGTGAGAAGACAGTGCAGGAGGCTTTGTGCCACAGAGATGTTAACATTCACAACAGTATCTTCTGCCAGTGTTGACTGCTATGGAAACACGGCACAGAGCCAACGATTTCACAAGAGCTCTTTAGGTCAGACTGTTTTGAAAAAAAAAAAAAATCACACCCCCTCCACTGGGCAAACAGCAAGCCCTCCCTCCTGGTCCAAGAGGTACCCAACGGATTAGTTACTTTAGCGAGTAGCTGAGCTCTTTCAACTGTAAAATAGTGGAAAAAAACAGAGGGGAATAAAGCAGCATGAGGAAACTTTCAATATTACAACCAAGGCACTGGTTTAGTTGAGCATATCCCATCACAGCAGAGCTAAATCTGGAGAGCAGTACATGTTATCGGAGAGAGAACCAATTTGTTTTCACATGTGTCTTCTAACTAAGAGCTATGGGGAAGCATATTGCTTCATATAAAGCTTTTTATTCTAACGTGATTACTCAGTGAGGCAGAGTTGCTTTAAGATACATTTTCAATTTGGATGAGGGGATTTTTTTAAAAGAACAATTTACACTCTTTCTAGAAAGACTACAGGACAACTAAAACTTGAGTTCGTGTCTTCATTACAGTGCTTTGAACTGGAACAGGAATTGGCAATTACCTGAGACCCTTCCAGGCATTGTTTCTTTATTCCCAACCACTGGAAAGCAACTTCAGTTCTGAACTTGATGATTTCTACTCTAAGAAATGCTAATGTTTTGTTAGTCAAAGGAAGGAGGCAAACTCAGCCATGAAATTAAGAGGAAAAGACAACAATGTTTACAACAGGAGAAAACCAACTTCAGAAAGAGCTCAAGCAATGGTAAGAAAAGATCCCCATTGGTAAGAAAAGATCCCCATGGACTGTGTTATGGTTTGTGAGCTTATCTCACAGTTATCTGTAACTAAAATAACACAAACTAGTCTCTCTCTGATGATGGACAGAGCACAAGTTTGTAGCTCACAATGACAGGAGGCACATAAAAAATACATTATAACAATACCTGGGATTTAGATCGTAGGTAGCATATAAAGGCTGAAGAGATTTGTGACAGCTGGCGTCACCCTGCAGAACAGCCAGTTATTCCTTAGAATTTGTATTCATCCAAAATTTCATGGGCCTTCAAATAACAGGAGTTTTGCCCAGCTGTATTTAATTCCTAGTGCTTCTGACTGAAGGCTGGAAACATGGATTGAAACAGAACCCACAAAATCCCTTAACTCCAAGAATGTTTTTCACCTTTTGTCTGTGATGAGATGGTTGGTTATGAGGGTCAAGTTACCAGGAGAACTCTCTAGGAACAAGAAATATGGCAGGATACCAGGAGAAATAACATGGACTGGAAGCTGATGTTATCTTTTTTTCCCCCTTTTGCACCTAAAGAGTAGTCTCAAAAGTCTGGAAAAGGACACACCAAATTATAGTACTGATCACATAACTGATTTACAAGAAGGAACAGCTAAAATAATGTATGTGGCCCATTAACTAAGCCAAGCTGAGAACTTTAAACTAATACAGTACAAAAGTTTACTCAGTAAAAACCCATAATCAGCTGACAACATACACAGAAGGAAAATATGAAAACAGACAAGAATCAGATCAAATGCTGACTTTGTTCAAGATGAGGGTAAGAGTGCAGTGGGAGACTGGGAGATTACATGAGAGAAAAAGAAGAAACCACACCTGAAAAATAAGCATATTGTGTGGAGGAAAAAGGAAAAATATTTTGGATTTATCACCATAGCACTTAAAACACTTAACAAAATGGGATGTAATGGAGATACTGTAAATTCATTTTGGAGAGGGACAGCTGAAGACTGGGGAGCTGTCCCTGACACCGGGAAGTGAAACTGGAACCGATGCTGCCTAACCAAGCTGAAATATTCTATGCAGTTATTCAAACAGTTCATCGTAAACACTGCAAGATGAGAGAAAACACAGATGGTGCAATACGTATATGGTGCCAGTATTATGTGAAAATTAAAAGGATTTTATTGACTGATGTTTTTCCTGAAAACTCATTGAAATGTACAAACTGGACATTCAGTAACTGAATTGTACATTCTGTATGTCACACAGATTCTTGCAGCCACTTTGAAGAGAGAATGTTATTTTCACTTACAGGATGTTCACATCATCGCAGACACTAAAAGTGTTGATATACTCTAGTCTAAAAGTGAAACCAAAATAGAACTGGACATAATGGTACACTGCTTTTTGCCAATCCTATTGACTCAACATGCGCCAGTTTCACACATTAAGTACCTACTGTACAGTTAGTGAAACACCTGACCAAGCATATGTCTGAAGTCATGATTGCTTATTAAATAAAACCCCTTTTCCTAGACTTCCAAGTTGTTTGTAGACAAAAATGTACTTAACTCAACTTGTTTCCCTGCAAAATGTTCAGACAACAATGTCTTGTCAGTATCTCTTTGAAAACTGTGGTTCACGCTAAAAAAAATGGCTGTAAATAATTTCACAAAATTAATTCCAGGTGTGGGTATTTAGAGAAATGTGTAGTTAGTTTCAACAGGCTTCGCTGTCCTTGCAAAACAGAATGCCCTGTTCTCTGTCCATAATCTATCACGTGACAGGTAATATTATCCTCAATTAATAACTGCCTATTTATAAATTTAGAGCTACTTACTGATTTCAGTCCTGCTAGAACAGCTAGGTGTACTTTGGAGTTACAGAGACATCACAACTGCCTAAGGGTTTCAGAGCTCCTGTCTTCAGAACTCCCCCATGTGTTTTTTCAACCTGTAGTCATTTTATTGCTACACAAAGGCCACAGCAACTGTTGCTCCCTTTTGTTGCTGGTACTGAACACTGGGCATTTTCTATCCAGCAGGACATATTAAATACTGTATGCCATATTTAACCTCAGGAACTGTCTCGCAGAGGAACCTGTATGTATCTTTGGACTTTCTTACAGTTAACCAACCCTTTAATGACAGTCCTGTATTTCTTTTTTTCCTGTTACAATCCTAAGAGCAAAATGTCATTAGAATCTGAAGAAAAGAGGTCTCTTTTATAAGCTCAATACAGTACTTTTATATTTCTGACTATGATATACAATGTATACCATAAATTAATTAAGACAAATACTTGTCACTTCATCTATGTAGGCACAAGTAAATCAATGACTTTACTGAAGTGGAGAAATCTTCAACGGTATCATGATTCTGGACTCCATTTCCTGAATAAGGGGCACTGAAAAAAATTGAGACAAGGTTTAATTTCACTAAGAGATCATTAACAGTTCTGCACCAGTTTAAACCGATATTATTGTCTTCAAATTACTCCTCTAGCAAGTGCATGTCAAAGTCATCAGTAACCACCAACAATCCTGTAACCGAAGCATAGCTGTTTTGAGAAATGAGTGATTTTTTTTCAATGTAATCTGTCTCCTCCTTTGAAGACAAATATTTCTATTCCTTTTCACCATAATGAAAGTTACCTTATATTTTTCTAGTATGCTTTCTTTGAAATAGATCCTATGAAACTGAAATCTAACATTGTTAGCATACTTTTATGAGTTTTGTTATGAAAGCTATCTTTGATCTCAAAGATCTCCTAGCTTCTATTTCCAAAGTCTAATTTCCCCTTTTAAAGAAATGTGTTTAACAAGGCTCCAGTATTTAATGTAATCTGTTGCTCTACAGGGGAGATGTTTGCATGAAAACTGTCGATTAATGTCAGAAAGTTTTAGCAATCATGCAGCGTCTCCAAGTTTGTACAACTGGTTGCAAAACCCACTTCACAGCTAAGTGAAATGTCCCTCCTTTACTTTACGGTAGCAAAACTGACACACAGATGCACTCAAAATACAGATGCTATACTTTTTATCATGACACAATGTACTGAAGAATAAAAATGATGGCATGCAGAAAGGTCTGCCTCCAGCATTCCAATGAGGTTAATATGTTACCTGTGTAATAGACTAGTTCATCCCAGCCAGGTTTATGCCATGCAGCATTCCTTATATCTTCTCTCGTTTGCAGATCTTTGTAGGCTAGTGAAGGAAAACAAGCACAAAGCTTAGAAGTAACTCCTTTTCCTTCTACATATAAATAGCTCCCTTAAATGTATTCTAGGGTGTAATTAGAAGACTGCAAATATGAGGAAGGAAAACATCAGGTGTTCTCCACAAAAAGGAAAACTCCCAAACCAACGCAAACAGAAGGAACTGGGGAAGAAAGAGAAACATGCTCTGCAAATGCTACACCATGTAAGTACTGCATGGTTGGAGTGCTTTGGGTGGTGGTGGGCAAACAGACATCAAACAGTGTTTGGTGAAACATTCACCTCTGACCATAAGTACTTCTATAAAAATTGTCAAAGAGTATTAGAGATGCAGTACCAAAAAAACTAACGTGTGCTGATTTTAAGTTTTTAAGTGTGATCATGGCTATCAATGGCAGCATGAGGAAACCTAAACATGGTGGGGAGAGCGGTCTTAGAAACAGGTAAGGCAAATAATGCAACGGAGTATTGTTCTACGTGGGTGGTGTCAGATTTCTAATGCTGAAATAGAGTGTTCTGAATTGTCAAGATCTGAAGGTAACACTGCATGTTTTCTAAAATAAGTGTTAGACAATTCGTTTCTTGAATGTGAAACAATCCTAACTTAAAAAGCACATAAGCATTGGTGGAAACTAACACACAAATAAGCCAAAACACTGTAACGTAGTAATGTAAATCAGTGCTTGACTTTTCCTTCTTTTAGATGTGGTACGTGTGATGCTTGAAACTAAACTGTAAAAATCTGACTTCAGCATGAGTGGGGATGGAGAAGAGAGATGGCAGGACATGGCTTGTCAAGTTTATATTACTGAAAGCAAACAAGTAGATAAGAAAAAGCCATGAGAAACTGCTGATGGAAACAGAACAAAGCATGAAATGTTCACTTTTGCTTGCTTTTTTTAAAAGTAAAATTCCCTACATAAAAATATAGAAAATCAACACAGTTGATGTAAAAAGAAAAAACTCAGTAAGACATTCCTTTGCCTTTTGGAAAAACTTTGTCTCCTGGGCAAAGTCAACAGTCTGTTAGGGGCTGATTGAGTGAGGAAGAAGCATCCAACATAAACAAGTTTACCCCAAAGGTGATGAACCATATACAGCTGTCCAATTTGTGAGAAAAATCCTCCAACTGCTTCATTATTATCCTGTCGGAAACGAATTGCACGAGCCCTATAGAAGACCAAAAGAGCCTTTAAGAACAACAGAACTGAGTAGGAAATAAATAGTAACTGAAAGGAAAGAACATGTGAAAGGAAGCCCAAATTTTAAACAACATTTGCAGTACCCTTCAGCAGTTAAAAATGACAAAAAAAAAAGCTACATTATTTTTCCAGTACTAATTAAAATATGCCTTGTTAGAATGTGTTAAGATTTGAGGCCTATGATTTTATTACACTGTGTATTAATCAGTCTTTGTTTTCAAAATTAGATCCATTATAATAACCGCTGAATGGTATAAAGTGGCAGGATATTTTTATAGAAGGTTCTTCTAAAACTAAACCCTTAGGTTTCAGTCATACTATCTTTGCCACACTCATTTACCACAGATTTTGTGGTTGTGAAATCCAGCTTTTTTATTCACATGGACATTTGTTTTGCAGTTCCACTATGCAACATTGCATGATTTATTGTGTGAATAAGATCAGTATCTCTTTTAACTACAAATCTGTTGCATGTTATAAACCACATTGGATACCATTGTAGATATGCCTATCTTATAAAAAGTAAATTACTGGAAAATTACTGTAATTAAAAAAATTATATTGATGACAACATGTCTAAAAGTCCAAGTCCTCACCTTTGTCAAAATAACTGAAAATACTCCACATTATTTAACTATCAACCGTAAGAACTGCATGGACCTAGTGAATGTAAACTGGAAGAAACTTACAGCGGTGTTAAGTAAGACAAAATCAGAGAGACAAGATCGTAAGAGGAGACTGTCTCAAATGCTTTTATAACCTATATATTAAAATATAAATGTGCTGCTCAACAGGTTTTCAAGAAGCAATTTTTTAAAGATTAGAAAAGCCAAGACTTAGACCATTTAAACTAAAAATAAGTCAACTACCAGTGGTGCTGAAGTTGTGAAAGATCAACACAGTGTTAAGGAGTTAACGGCCTCCCTTCACTGAGCAGTGCTTTCTACTAAAAATAAATTATTTCTGCTATATGATATCAAGCTACAAGGGTTATGTAAAGGAAAGCCAGACCACGGAGCCCACAGAGTTGTTTGCACACAGAATTCCTCTTTCTTTCCTCAAAGGATAAATTGAGGGTCAAAGAACTATTTTACAAGTTGCCTAAGAACAGAAGCAAACCATTAACTGGGTGACTGAAATGTTTTGGTATCGTTCTGCCACCTCCACTTCATAACTTTTAAACACACATCTCTCAAGGAGGAGAACAAAAGTGCTATGGCAATACTTACCAGTAATTTCCCCACTCAATCATTGTTCCGGGCTACAAAAACAAAACAGGCTGTTAAAACTGTAGTTTAAAGAAAGCTGCAATATTTAGACAGTTTTCACAACATTCATGTATGGAAAACACTATTTATTAACAAAATCTCTTCCTTGAAGTGATAAGCATATTATAATCATCTGTAATTACTCTGTTTACTTACTATATTACTTCTTAAGTAATTTTCCAGAAATTTCCCTCAAATTAAAACACAGGATTTTCAGCCCTTCATACAAGACATTAGTATCTTGTTGGAGCTTGCCTTAATTCTGGACCCCACACTTTGAAAGCAACAATGACTCAGCCATCAGCTTTGATAAAAACCAGATTTTTAAGCAGAGGTCTGTTTTCCATCTACATTGTATAAACATGCTTTGAACATTTTACAACAGCATATAGCTTAAAAAAAAATAAAAAGAAAAATTGAAACTTACTCTAAGTTGATAGGATCTCAGTTCATAAATATTAGGCCCCTCTCTGGGAACAGGTTCATTCCAGAAACTAAACTCCAACAATAGCTGGTTCTTGCGAGAGAGAAGCATGTTACCTCTTTCTTTGCGAAACTCCGTGAATTCCTTAAAAATAATATGATCATTATCAAGCTGTATATTATGTTTCAACAACAAAAAGCAGTAAACCATACAACAGTTTAGATTTTTCAATGCTATCTTGGAGTTCTGGACATTGAAATCATTTAAATTGTACAGGCATCTAAACTCCCCTGGCATCTTTGGAAACTTCAACTGGCGTCTTTACAGAGCACCTGAGAATCTTGAAGTGTTTCATAAAGTATTCAGGTATTAAGAGTCAATATTTCTGAATCTGAGAATAAACCCTCTTCTAAAGCTTTTTCTAAGGCTGTACAGACGGTGATGACATAAAGAAGTAAAAGCAGGTATCTAAGTGAGTGCTGTTTGGCTCTGACCATTCTATGTTCTCTTCTATTAACCATTTCTAACAAATCCATGCGTTTTACCTTATTTTGACGGAGTTTACTCATGACCTCATTGAGAGCTGGATAGCCTCCTTCATACCTCCACAGGTGAACTGAAACAGAAAAAAAAGGAAGTTTTTTCATGCATGTTGCATGTAAGCTGCAAAGCTTATGGAATATCACAGTATAAAATGCTCTTCATACAATAAAATTATAAGAAAACAGAAGTCATGTAACTGGTTTAAAAGATTTTCATTAAAGAAAGCACTACACAATTGAACACTTTAAGAATAATAGGATCATCTGTTTTTTTGAAAGGGGTTCTTTCAAAAACTCTACAGTCTACTCTGAGCATAACAGGAAGATTATTTAAAGAAGTTTTTTGTTGCCATGCTAGTAAAATGTGATGACTTTACGTGACTGTAATTTAAATTGAAATTCAATTTAACAGGCTGATTTAATTCCAGAAACATGTTTTATACCAATTTCACCTAAGAACAACAGATTGGTGGACTTCTTATTTCAGCAAGTTACTTGAGGAAAAAGAGCATGAGACACTTTCAGTAGGATGAAAAATGATGGAAATGTTATTTTTGTGGTAAACATTAGATTAAAAAAACATACCAGAAGATATCTGAACGTGCTAGAATATTTGGTAGGATTTTCCCCACACAAACAACTTCAGAACAGGTATTTGCATTTGTTAGTCTTTTCAAAGCATTCTTTCTTTAATTAATCACAACATATGGCTTTAATAAATCATTACTAGATTTATTTACAAACACTTACTATAGCAAGGCAACAATATTTCACCTCAAAGAGTCCCAAAAGCTGTTTCCTCTCCTATATATAAGTCCTGGGCCTTTCCCAGAAGAGTGATCTAGAGGCTAATGTAAGGCACTTCACTATGATAGCAGATTCATCCAGTGTGCCTGCTTCTATTGTCTAGTCCCCAGGGCAATTTGATATATCCAGCTGGTATTAAGACCGCCTGGGCACAAGTACTGAACAAGTCAAAACCCCATAATCTGCTTTATTAGACTGCTAGAACTGCTGCAGTAACATTTTCAAGCCAGGCTATGGATGCAATTACAGATACAGTCTGTGTTAATGCATTAAAAAACAACAATGAATGAGACTTGGTTAAGACACTCATTTCAATCGTCTTCATTCTCCAATTTCCCTTCAACTTTTAAGAATTGTTTCTCAGACATTGTTTGCTTTATCTACTGCTACTTCCTCACATTTGTGCAGTGCCAATATTGCAATATGCTGTAAATGCTGGAAAATTACTGATGAGTACATGAGTATATTCTTCAATAATTCTTCAATAATGGAGTGACATTGATACTAGCACAGCTCTAACCGTGGAGCTTCTATGACCTAAGAAGTATCAGCACACCACTTTGTATTTGTGGTTTCCCATTCCTTCAATTCCCCAGAGCCCAGGAAATTTTTCAGTTTTTTTTTTCTCTGCATGAGACTCTTTGCAGTTACCTCTGTTGCAACTCTTCAGTAATTAGTAGTTCAATATATTTTCAATCTATGTTAGGTGGTATCTTTATATGAACATGAACAGAACTATTTATACTTTCTTCCAGTAAAGGCTTAGCTTATTGTGAGCTTACAATGCAATCCTTTTTTCAGATGGCGTGAATGATTTGCATTTCATTATCATACAGCAGTTACAGTATGAAAGTCTGAGTAAAGCTTTTATACTGGCCAATACAAGTTCAACTCTGCCTTTGTGAGCCTTTGGCTTAAGTATTCAGGAACACAACCCGTGCCTGCAAAATATTACTGGAACAAATTTTACAAGGATTTCCCCAAACTGTTAATCTACCCCCTGGAAGACAGGAAAGGATTAACAATAGGACAAATTTTAGGAATTAAAGCTTCACTGTCAAACTCAGCAAGACAAAAAGCAAGCACTGTAAATGTTAATGACTACCGTAACTGATGCACACACATCCTCGCTGCATAGGTTTACTAACAACAGAGATGATTTAAAGAGAAGAAACCTGCCAAGCACACGTTTCACTTGTATGGTTTTACGTTCTGTTGTACTTCTATCTCCTACCAGCCTGATCTTGCTCTCCGTACCACGTGTTCCAAGTCCCCACCAGTGCACATGGGTAGTGTTTTTCTTCATGAATCTTTGGCAGCACCTCTTGACTTGAAAACAAGGAATACAGACACTGTGTTGCATTTCCTTCAGGGAGGCTACAGTTGATACGTATAACAAATCACCCCGCGTTTATCATTATGGTACGAAAAATCACAAGCTCTACGTTTCAGAAGAGAAAGCTGAAATACAAGAATCTGCTACACAAGGGGAAAGATAGCTACCACACTACATAAAATTAAGGTAAGTGTTACCATTTCTTAGTCTGTAAGACAAATGCACAGCATGGTAGGATTCTTGGGATGCAATGAATGATGTGATATCACCTAACAGGTTATCCAACACATCAGGAAAATAAACATCAGATGTCTCACTTACAGGAAACGCAGCCTAGCTACATGGGTGGTTTGCTTTGGGGAAATGGTTTCTTTATCAAGAGAGGTAGAACACACAATAATAGGCAAGGACAGTCTTTCTCCTGTACCACGTACAAAATTTTAATTCGGTTGACCTGAATGAATAAAAACAAGTATTTTGTTTGATCAAATGAGAACTGGGTTTCATAGAACACAGACTTATTGCCATCTAGGATTTCAGAAAGTAGGTCTAGTCTGAGGGCAACTTATCCTTTAAAGCACTTATCCTTTAAAATACTGTGAAACTGCCTAGCAAAAACATCTAACACAAAATTTGTTTGATTTTTTCCAGTATCAGTAATATTTTTTCAAATGTTAAAATGTGACCAATATTAGCATAAGGAAATTAAGTTTTACTGATAGCTAACTTGGTTAGGTCAGCTTTCGTCATACTGAACTTTGATGAACAACTCTATTGGTCTGGATGAACTTTGCTTTTTAATATTTTTCCCTGAATAATTACTGCTCTTACCAAGTTTGATTCATGGGCAATGTCTCTGCATGGTATCAAATACTAGCAAGCAGGTTTGTCTTATACTGACAGTTAGACTATGAGAGTCTTCCTCTTGGTTCTACCACTGACTTTCTAGCTGACCTAGAGTGAATCTCATTACCAATTTGTATCTCAATTATTTCTTATTACATAGTGGAAGTAACATGATAGAAAGACTCTCCAAGGATATTTTCAGTCACCATCAGTGCTTCTACAAAGCATAACGAGATCCTAGAAAGGCAGCTTTAAACAGGAATGTTAACTACAATAGTCCTAAAATATATTTTGTTGTGAATTATATTAAAAAATACAGAACACCGTATAATTCATAGACTTGAACACTGTCTTTTTCACTTTAAAAAACTTCCCTAATTCTTCAGAAGGGGTCCTCAACCACAGTGATTCATGAAATACTCTCATAATTGTCTTTGTTACATTATTTCTTTATGAATACATGATTACTAATTCTCATTCCGATTTCATACAGAAAAAAATGAATTTACTTGCTCATGTTTAATTAAGGAAGGAAGATCAGAAGTTCTTTCATTGTTTTTTACTACTCCATTCTCAAGTTTTCTCCTTTCCTTGAATACTTAAACTATCTTAGGTTTGGGAAGAATAAATCCAACCCCCACATACTTCATCTGACTGTTGTCAGCAGTTTTATTCTTTGCTATTGTCTCTTTCCTTGAAAATAAAAGCCTCTGCTTTCACTCAACATTTAGGTAGCTCATGAGTGCGGAGAAGTGGTTCCTGGTCTCATATAACTGGACATGTTTATATTAAGCTTTTAAACAGAAAGATGGCTGAATGCTAATTGTGCTTCGCTGTATATACACTTTTTAAACAAAAAGGTTAAAAATACCTTAAGTTTGGAAGTTATTCTAGTGGATTTGTATATTTGTATAGCGAGGAAAATAGGTTTGGGTTATCGAGACCCATTTCAAAGCTGAACAAGGATATGTTGGACAACCTACTTATGGATGTGCAATGAACCCGTAACAGAGTTGAGGACATAAATTAGGAGTTGTGAACTTCCTCACCCTCCAGCCAAGCTGATGTCTCAGCTAATGCACCAGCCTTAAAAAATCGATTGCTGTAGGGTACCATTGTCCTCAGAATGTTTTAGTTAACTGACAACATGATCACTGTCAGTGAGAAAGCCCTGCTGGTTCCAAATATGTGAGGCTCACTACGTTCCCAAATTTAAACATTTAGTTCTTTAAAAAGGCAGCTGTTCTGGCTCCAATGGAGTCATTGTGTAGGCAGAACAAGACTAATATTTGTCTAATTTCATCTTTAAAATTGTAAATTTAACATGTTGCCATTCATGCATTTTAAAAAACTGTAACTTTTTGGAAAACCCACAATATCACTGCTCTCTTTGGAGGATATCATCCCAATGCAAAGATCCTATCCAAGGATTTGTGCAGCTCTTTAAGAGTAGATCTCAGTAATGTAACTTTGCAGAATAAAGACACAAATGAACTAAGGGAAAATCAAACCCCGCATTTTTAAAATCTCCTCAAAGTTACACTTTAATTGAAAACTGGCATGCAGCTTTACTTACCAGCACTCTCTCCCTCTCGTTCCTGTATACAGACAATAACCACCCTCAACCAATTCCTACATGGCATTTGGAGTTGGGGGCATGCTAACATACCAGGATCTGCTCACGTGGACCAGCAACGGTAAGTTAGACACTCAAGGGAGGGGAGTGAGCTATTCCAACAAACTTCACCTCTGGTTTCACAACAGGGATCACCCTAAGTGGCAGCTCAGGAAAATGACTCCTCCACAGGGGAAGGCAGGGGGTGAGCTGAGTCAAGTACCTTTTGCTAGCTTTCTCCAAAAATAGTATGATCTATTTACCCTGAAAGTAAATGCAGAATTTGTCCACCTCCCCTCTAAAAATAATTATCGTATTTGCCAATTTTCAGAACAGCTTGTGACCAAATCAACAAATCTAAAATGTGAAAACATAACGTGCACACTTACCAAAGCTTGTTGTAGGCGTCTAGACATTCTGGTTTTACATTGTGAACTGAAACAACAACATTAGATGAGAAATGCAGGAACGGAACAAAGGAATGGTAATGTTGAATATAAAAATATCACTCACTCTGTAGTTTATACAGACTGCTGGTCTCCCTTTTGGCTAGAAGGTTGGAGTGAGCATCCTTCCTCGGGTCGACTTTGCGAACAAATAGCGTTTTTAACCAGCTGTCTTCACGAGGTCTGCTAGCTGAAGATACCAGTCCCCTGCATATTAACAAGGACATTACACCGTCACCGAGCGTGTCTTGAAAATAGCCATAATGCAGGGAAGACAGGCACAATCAAATTTAATACAAACTCATAACATAGTTACAGCCAGGGCTGTTCCTAAATCTTTCCACTGAGCCACTCATTAGCAAGGTAAAGGCAGTTCTCTCACAAACCATTTTATGTGACTTAGAGCTGAACAGTCAACCATGAGCTATCCACTCAGGTATCTATCTTGTAAAGCATGGCAGGGAATGGGTGCATGGCTGCTTTAACTGCCTATTTATCTTCTTTTTAATTGTCTTTGCCCAAGACGGCTGGGTCTGTCCTGATGTACACAGACAGGAGTGAAAAAGAGCAAAAAGTGTGCATAAGGAAAGATTTGCACGGTGTAAATAGTAAAGTAAGTGCCATATGCTCCTATGTTTGCTTAAATACAGCTCTGAAAAGCTAACTAATGCATCTGGTGTATTTAACTGCTCCTCTATAATGGGTGGAAGGGGACCCCAAGTTAAAATGTTGTATCTTCTTTCCCCTAAGCACTTCCTTTAGTTTCTTTCTTTTTTTTTGATACAGGGCTTCTGCTGAAATACCAAACTATTTATCTGCAACACTAAACAAGTGGCACCACAGGTGAAAATTTAAACCTTTTCCTGTTTCGGAAATCAACTTTTGACCCTGAATTACTGATGAGGAGACACAGATGATAGGTTTCAGTCTTCAGATATAAAGCTGCCTTCCAGTACCAAAACTCTTTGACAATTGTTCAAAGATAAAAAATAGGGGAAGAAAATCTCAACTTCTTTTGGGAAAAACTCTCTCTATGAACATGCTAGTCAGCATTACACAAAACCAAGTCACACTAGCAGTGTTTTTCAACAATCATCCTTTTAGTGATGTCTGAAATGTCTGATGTCCCAATGTCTGAAAGTAAGCTAACGAACTGGGATGCCCCGTGGAAATAGAATGGAGGAAAGGAAAAGAAATAAGAACAACCTCAGCTGAAATGGCCTTCGATATCAAGAAGTAATCAGTAAGTATTTGATTGTATTTCTTGAAAATGGTGCTTTTTTGACCCCAACAAACACAGAAACGCATTCCTGTGCAGCAAATTAAGCTGTCATTCTGCGTACAAGCATTGAAAAGGGCATTTCAAGATAGGGCGGCTGCCAGAACAAGGGGTGCGCAGTTGCCTGGGGATAGACATACCTCTGGTCTCTGTTAGGGGAGGAGAGAGGCACAGGCGACCGCACAGTTGTGTGGTTACAGTTACATCAGGTGCCACAGGAACATATGCTGCCCCAGCTGATGTCAAATTGGAGAGGGGGTAAAGCCCACCTAATAAATGCATGTTTTTACAGCTCCTGGACAGCAAACAGGGCTCCAGGAGACAGAAGTCCATGGCAGTCCTGCAGTGCTCATTCTTTTATCCCAGGGAGATCTCTGCACTACCCTATTTTCCCCCCCTAGTTATTAAATGGAGTTAGCAAATGTATTTAGAGAGCTCTTCTGTGAGGATTATTGTTTGCAGCATTTTTTGAAGGAAACGGGTAATCACATTGCTTTGTTGGCTGCTTTATTAGCAGCAACAGTAAGCTGGAGTTATGGGGATAATACTGACGAGCAAATTCCCTTGGTATTAGGAGAATCTTACGACTTCGGTGTAAAACTGCACCTAAAACTGGAGGTAATTTCATCTTCGATACAAGGATGAAATGAGTTAGTACTTTATATGAAGTCTTTACTCAGAAATTGCAAAATCCCCCATCAAGAGTGACTAGTAAATCACAACTAGCTATCTAAACACACACTTCACTTACAATTAAGGATAGTAACAGCTAAGTTTATTAAAACTGACATCCAGTGTACCCAATCTGAGATGCTAAAGCTGTATTTTTAATCACCAGATCCCTTGAGAAGTGCTGCAGTACTGGTGCCAGTCTAGGCCCTGACAAACCAAGCAGCCCTGATGCGATCACTGCTTCACTCGTTTGGGTCACCTGCACCCCAAACTACCTCGAGAAGAGCGAGGGACTAAATTCATGACTTCAACCTGCCAGTTGTGAGCATCAACCACATATTAGTTCAAAACTAATCCACCATCCAAAAGATCTACTTGTCACTAACTTCTTACTGTTACACTCCACAGTATTATAAAACTGTCCCAAGTAAAATGGACATTGGATCCAAATCACCTAAACATCACTAATGAAATCGTGAGGAAATGCATAGAATGAATGCAGACACTATATGGAATTCCAATCACACTTCCCTATTTTTCTTTCAAGTTTTTCAGGGAGCAATATGTATTAAATAGAGTTTTCATGTGAACTTTTAAGGCACTGCTTGACTTTGCTAGCACGTGCTTATCGCACTAATGTTATCTATGGTTTCAGATTTCTTGCTACAAAGACCGGGCCGTGAACACAAAAGGAGAACACTGAATAGCTTGCTTATATTATATGAACAGTGCTGGTGAAAACGTTTCCATCCCCCCTAACTTCTGCTTTAGTACACAATATAAACTGGGTAGAGTGGGAGGTACACAGGTCAAATATTTAGATTTTGGAGTAATCAATGTTTGCCTAGAAGAGAAAGAAAAACAGCTTGTCTATAATTGACAGGTTTTGATTTGTGGTCTAGACAGATGTCAAAGTTTATTTGAAATTTTTTTAAAAAAACGTAACCCAACGCACATAAAATTTCACAATACACGTTCTCCACAGCTCTCCCCCTTCCTGGTTCAAAAAGCTGTTTGCAGAGCTGATGCATTTAGTCTTGATCAGGGGCTGCTTCTCAGGCTCAGGCCTGAGACAGCAGCTTCCCCTGCCTCAGGAGGAAAAATTGGGTGCAGATCCTTCCAGTTTGGGTGGCTGTCTCCAACACTTCGGGACCATGCGTGGCTGTTTCCTATACCCAAGGGACGTGTGTCTGAGCACTGTGTGCCTGCACCCTTGTCACCCCACAGATATGCACATGCCTGACCCTTCACACACCAGACATGTGGGTGGATGTGCAAACACACCCCAAAAACAACGGGTGTGCGTGTGTCCTTACACCAGGGGGCTGTATGGGTACACACAGCCCAGCTCCTATGATAAACAAGGAATCTGTGTGCCCCGATACCCACAGGGTACATACGTGTGCCACTGTGCATCATGAAATTAGGGTGACAGTGCTGTGAGCAGCCACACACGCTGACACTTGGGGACATGTGGGTGTTGTGTTATGGGGTCAGCCATGCACCGTGACACTGCAAGCATGGGGTGGCAGCGCACCGTGACCCCAAGGGACAGCACCATGCGTGGCTGTGCCCCCCAAAACACATCCTGCAGAGGGGCCACGCACCCTGCAGCCTGGTGCAAGAGGGATGCGCAGCAGCTTTACACCCTGAGCAATACTGGGGTGCGGGATGCCCGGGCACCCCTAAACCAGGCACCCCAGGGTGTGGGCTGGCTGTGCACCCCACCATGGGGGTGACACTGGGGTGTCGACTGCCCGCACACCTCAGGGGTGATGTCGGTGAGGTTTGAGCCACGACACAGCCGTGAGCCCCCCGCGGGGGCTGCCTCGCTACCCGTGACCTTGAGGCTCCCCCCCGAGCGGGCCGCACTCCCCGCCCCACGGCCCCTCAGCCGCCGGGGCGAGCGGGGCGCCATTTCCAGTCAGGAGAGGGGCGGGTGCACGGAGGGAAGGGATTCCGCGGTGTAGGGCGAGCGGGCTGCGCCGTCTCCCCCTTCATCCCCCCATAACCGCCTTCCTCGCCCTTTTCGGGGCTCCCCCTGTCCCCCTTCGGGGCTCACCTGAGGGCCAAGCCGCCGCCGGCCGAGAGGCGAGGCCGGGAGTTGGCTCCCGCCAGGCTCCGCCGCAGCAGCACTCGCGCCGCCATCTTGCTCGGGCCGCCTCAGGGGGGTGGCGGCGGCGAAGGGGGGGGGTTTAGGGGGGCTCCGCGGAATTGCAGCTCTAGCGCCGGCCGAAGGGGGGCGCGGGGGTGCTCCGGGCACGCATGCGCTGAGTAGGGGGGTTTTTGGGGACCCCCCTTGGGGTTTTTTTGGGGGTCGGGCTCAAGGAACCCCCGCCGGGTAGCAGAAGGGCAGGGCCGCTGCGGGCTTGCCTCAGTGAGGGGTGAGGCGGTGCTGGTGCAGCTCCCTGCCCCTCCTCAGCCCCCCGAAGAGAAGGCTGCTTCTTTTTGCATTAAAACACAACCATTTGCCTCTTTTCCCATTAAAATACAACCAAAGCATCACTGCTCAGGCACACGATGCTGCTTATATTTGCCCCTTACCTTCCAGGGCTGCTTCCTTGCACACAAATCCCCTCCGAAACACCACTTACCACTGCAAGCTGTCACCACCGAAACCCGTGAGGTGCCTTCTCCACCTCACTCCACAACCCCTGTCTTCATCGCTTTCATTCCTGACCTTGCAGAAAGTTTTGGCAAGGTAAAGGATGCACTCAAGAAGTAGGGTAATGTCCCATGAAAACCACTTACTAAGAAAGAATCCAGACAGTTTTTCAATCACATGCAAAAACTAGTTTCTTATTCTCCAAATAATTTTGCCAACATGCAGTTAAAATATTTTCTTCGCACCGTTTCAGCTCCAGTAGTGCTTACTTCAGCTAAACCAGTGGTGTGTGCTAATATTAAGTCTTCAAATAACTTTAAGAATCAACTTTAAATTAGGCAAATATTTAAAGGATGGTTCTGAAAGCAACTAGCCAATTAACAGAGCAAGTAAGTTAATGAACAAATTCTTACTTTCTACATAACATATAAATGAAGTTTATGCAGCTTCTATTTCTATTTTGCAATTTTTATATCAGCACACCATGAATGTTGGATGGACTAGAACATGCCACGTGCTTTAACATCAGTGAAGTACAAATGTGGTGCAATCTTTGAAGACCAGTTTGGGTTAAACCTGTCAATCTTTTTAAAAACAAGACTTCAGACTAGGTACATTTAATCATTTTTTGATCTGAAAAATGTTATGCTCCTGAGCCAGCAAGAATTTAACTGCAAGCCACAAAGCTGATAATCTTGTGTGATGCATCAGTTTTATATGAAATTACATTTACACAGCTACTCAAGAAAAGTCACTGGAGATACAGGGAAAGATTTACTTCCACAATCAACTGCAACTTGTTAACCAAACAGAAAACTGTTTCCTATAAACTCTCTATAGGTACAGGTTTTTACAGCTTTCCTATCTCAAGTAGAGGTCAAATTCCTTTACTGCCTCCTGTTATGCAATTGAGTTGTATCTTCTACTACCCAGAGCCATGTTCTATCCTGCATCTGATTTCCTTCAGTCTGTGCTAGGGATGAAGTTTCACATTGTATATTCACTTGAGCAAGAATCAGAGCCCAGGTTTCCTTCCACTGAGACAAAGGCCGCAGTTAGCCAGCTACAATTACTAATTTACATAAACTTTAGCCACTTCAACAAACAGATCAAGAATAACCTACAGCCAATATTAATAAAAGCTTGCTCAAACTAAGGGACCACATTCAGGTTGTTCATTTTCATACACAAGTTTGAATCCAGGTGTCTTGGCATCCCACCTTATTGATCCAAGATGCAAGGTGGTACTTGAGGACTGTCAGTCTACAATTCAAAGAATAGCTGTACTGAAGTACTGAAGTAAATTTCAGTTTCTTATTCCTCCCAACCCAAATCACTTGCTGAATTCAGACTTTGTTAGCAGCATGGGAACAGCTGAAACAGATTTATGCAAGTGGAAGAAACTGAAAACTTGAAATTAAAGGGCAAAATTCTATTTAATGAAATAAAACAGCTGATAGCTCACTAGTATAGGCTACCTCAGTTTGTAAAAAAAAAAAAAAAAAAAAGTCAAAGGAGCTTAGCTCAGAAGTACCTTGTTTAGCTTCTAATCTTAAACAGAGACCAGTGACATCAGTAGACACTTGAAAAAGGACTCCTCTTAGCTCTGATGTACCACTGCCTGCCATATAGGAACACGGAATGCTGTCCCCACAAGTGTTTTGATGCAGACACCCCTTTACAGCAACAGAGGGCTGCTGTAACTGCCACACACTTAGCTCTGTGTTCTGGAAGACAGGACACAAGATCCACAGAAGTTTCTTTAGCAGAATAAAGTGATCTTTAATCTTTAACCTCTATGGGCTTCTAGTTTCATATTAAAGTATTCAGCAAATCAGTATCAGTAACTCTCCTGAAGTACATTTTTAAAGTTATCTTTTCCAATAAGATTAAATCAAAACACCTTTACTTCTTTTGGCTTTGTCATCCCATCAGCTTCTACCTCATGCTGGCAATTCGAAGAGGTCCATCTCTCCCAGAACTACACTCTTTGGACAGGTTACAAAACTCTACTAAGCTCTATGAAGTTAAGATTCTCACTTGACTAGCATTATAATGGCACATGGTTGGATTTTTGTCAGAAGTTAGAAGATAACACAGCGTGGTATGAAAAACTAAGAGTAAATAAGGACACATGCAGGTAGCTGTTTTAAGTTTCTGTACTTCCTTCCAAACACTTTAATAGAATTAGTTTAAGTAAGCCTACAAGCCACAAACGATTGCCTGAAAGACAGAACAATCAAGTAATATAATGACCCTCCCACCAAACTTAAACAATTATTTTGTCTCAGTACAAAAGGGTCATTCCAAGTGAACAGCTGGCTTTCTGAAACTGCCAAAACTTTGGGCAAAACTACATGCAACAAGAAGTATAACAATTCACATTTTCCATATTTTCATTTGAGAGGCACCTCAAATTTTTAATCTGTAACATGTTACTAGAAGCAACTATGTTTACTATTTATTTTGACTACAAATTTCACTGAAACAATTAACATAAAGCAACAGGGCCCCAAACATCTCTGACAGAGATGAGCTGAAAAGGCCCATTTAAATATTCTCTCTGCTATTTGTCTGATGAACAAACTTTAAGTTCCTGGAGTTTTTCACTTAAATAGTTTGTGTCTGCCTCTGTCAGATTTTCTGAATCTGACAGGTTTTCAAGGAATCTGGTTCCTGCACAGGGCTTTCCTGTTATTGGATCTATGACATTTCCAACCTTGAAAACAATTTCAGCCAGTTCGTGTTTCACATGTTTGCTCCTCCGCTCAGGCAAAGCTTTTAGAAGAACAATGTCTCCAACAACACACTGCTGCAACGGGTCATGGGCAAAATAGGTTTTCCGCTTGTTAAAGAACTGTGGAAGGAAAAAAGTCTCAGCATTAGGTTTCAAGACAGAGCAATTGATAAATTTATTAAATATAAGATGAAATAGATTTCACTAATTTGTGAAATTTTTCTCAATATTAAGTTTGGAATGCATTCAGAAATGCAACTGTGCACCCTATTTCCCAAAGGTGGCTCAGTATAACCTTCCCATACTCTCTGGTTAGGATGTGATCACCCACTGAACTTCAGGAAAAGGAGATAGGGAAAAAGCCAACTACAAAAAAGTGGTCATAGCCAATACGTGAATATAAATATAGTAAGTTCTTCGCATAACTAGGTTCCTTGTCTTAAGATCACCACTTTCCACCAGCCTCTCTCTAGTTCTGTGAGCTTTTCTTCTCTTTAAGATACTCAACAATTGCTGCAACAAGACAGCTGCCTCAGTTCTTCCAAGCTCAACAACTTTCCTGTTCAGTCTGTACTTCAAGACCTGATGTTAATTCTTATATACCCTAGTATTTCTAAAAAATAATCAGCCATGGAATTGAATTAAGTTCTTACTCAATTCACTTTTCCCATATAAAAATTCAATATATATTTTGCAGAATTCAGAAGCTTAATAAGTCAACATATTCTTCTACAGGATAAGAATGCTGGACTACAATATTGGACTCAAGACCGATTGCCTAATTCAAATTTTACTTTCTGGTCACCAAATACAACACCTACATATACCACAGGTTTCCCCAATAAATAAATGCTAATTTTAGCCTCCCCATTTGAAATGCATTGACACAAAGAAAAGCTCTTACAGCACATCATATACAAATACCAAGTATGCTTATGATTATATATACTAAAAATGACTACAGAATCTATTGGAAAAGTGACTAATACCAAGTTTAAAAACAAAACATATTCCAAATCAACAGTAAAAAAATAAATTTAAGCGTGAACCAGGAAAACCTGCCTTCCTAACACAGATAAAGTACTTCAAGAAAGCATTTAGCAGATGAGCTGAATGGGAAATAACCTGACAGAACACACTGCTCGCTACTTGTCACCCTTTGTAGTCAACTTCATAGACAAATCATTATGCAAGTCCCTTAGAGAGATTTAAAAACTCCAGGAGTCATATTAACAAAACATTCTTCTACGCGGTGCAATAATCACAGGGCAAGACAAGTTGTTAACCAGCTTTTACCTTTAGTAAGTAAGGATCTAGCACAAGCCTTGTCACTCTCACTTTAGCAGTCTTCTGCATTTTGGTTCCTATGACTTTTCCTATTATCCATTTTGCATGGACAGCTCCACGTGGTACAGACATCGTTTGGTTACGGTCATCCAGTGCCTGGCAACAAGCAAGCAAACATGTTATTTTAACAAGAAAAAAAAATAGTTTCAAAGCAACAGCAAATTCCTTTGAATCATGCTGACTGCTACATACTTGAGAAAGAAATGTGTAGCCATGGAAATTATGAACTTAACTCATACTTCAGCAGCTGTTTTTGCTGGAAGAGTTCATGAGGTTGGTGTATGCCCAGAGTTAACCCAAGCAGAAAGCAGTCTGTAACTGCTGCTCAGAAAGTCATTTGCTTGTGCATACCCCATGACTTTTTGTTAACTAAACTTACAGTAACAAAGTTCTTCAAGTTACATGAGATAGTCAAAAACTGCCTCACCTACAGCAACCGTAATCACTTTGAGTGAGTTCATTCCTGTAAAGAACTGTACTCCACTACTTTATTAGCTTTGTTTCAATCAGGATGGCTTTCTGCACCACTCTTACAAGAATCATAATAAAGTTAATGGAGGACATTAAAAGGCTTGAACCAGTACTAGAACTGCTGGATACTAATTACCTGTTTCTCTCTCAGCTGGCTACCCATTGCTAACCACTACTGACACCTGCTGAATTCTCAAGCTCTCCCTTCTGCACCATTACAGACTCACTTAAACACCCCAAACCACCAAAAGCAGCACTTTATCCCCCCACAGGGCCCATACAGAGCACAAAACACCTCATGCAGTCAAGTCTGAGGGAGCTTTTAACGTCCTCGACTAAGTTAGGCCCCCTCAGGCCCCCTCAGGCCCCCTCAGGCCCCCTCAGGCCCCCTCAGGCCCCCTCAGGCCCCCTCAGGCCCCCTCAGGCCCCTCAGGCCCCCTCAGGCCCCCTCAGGCCCCCTCAGGCCCCCTCAGGCCCCCTCAGGCCCCCTCAGGCCCCCTCAGGCCCCCTCAGGCCCCCTCAGGCCCCCTCAGGCCCCCTCAGGCCCCCTCAGGCCCCCTCAGGCCCCCTCAGGCCCCCTCAGGCCCCCTCAGGCCCCCTCAGGCCCCCTCAGGCCCCCTCAGGCGCTGCCGCCACCGCCGCCGCCTCACCGGCCTTAGGGGAAGGGATGCGGAAGGGGCGGGGCCGCGGCCGGAAGAGCCGCGCGGCAGGGGGCGGGGCCTGCGGCAGGGGTGGGCGGGGCGTGGCGGGGAGGATTTAAAGGCGCAGGCCGCGGGTAGCAGCAGGGTGGTGGAGGAGGGGCCCGAGGAGTGGGGGTGTCGTGCTGAGGGGTGTGAGGGTGGGGCCGCCATTTTGTGCTCCTCGCTGCTGGGCAAAGCCCGGTGTGGGTATGCGAGGGGTTGGCATCCTGCTCTGCCCTCACAGGAATTAAGTGCTGCTGGCTCTTCTGTTTGTGTAAATGACCCAAATGTTGTGGGTTTTCCACGTAAACCTCAAAGAAGTGGGGTACCTGCATTGAGCGCTGGCTTCTTGTTCTCGATTGTCCCTGTTTTGGGAGAAATTCAGTTTAAATCTGTGAAATCAGCATCTGAAAAAAACAAACACCTTACAAATAGAGCGGAGTAAAATCCCTTGGCCATGCCCTGGTGCTTCAGGTAGTTTCCTCCTGTCAGCCTCAGTGCCAGGCAGAGGCTATCTCATTTTAAAAACTACTTATTTTTTTTTATTAGTTTCACCCGTTTAACGCTGGCAAGAAATCTGATGCCCACCTTGCCAGGCTTGTTCTGTTCAGCCTTTATTGTCCCACACAGGAAGGGGCAGGCAGGGAATGACACCTACCTGCTAGGACAGCACTGCAGCTTCCCTCCTTAAGGTGGCTGGGCATGGGCAGCCCAGGCTGCTCGTACAGCTGCAGACACTGCTGAAATAATTCGATCAAACACTGTTAAAGAAGTCTGCAAGTTCGCTCTCAGTCCTTACAGATACCCAATATAAGATTCAGGGGCTTCTCCTAATTTCCTTTGCTGCCTGAATTGCAGTGGAGAGAAGTTGGGAGGAGTTTTGCTGGCACAGGCAGGAAATGGTTAAGAGCCCTTCATATCACCTGGGAAAGCGATTCTTTGATTTTTCAGAGGGCGCTAACATGCTGCAGTTCATGGGGAACAAAGGGAAGGAGATCAACTATAAAAGTTGTTCTTGGATTTTATTTTCCGTGGCAGAACGTGCGAGGGCTGGACACTGATGTCTGCTGAAAAATAAGGGATTTTGGATTAAAAAGATTTTTTTTTTCTTCTTATCTTCGTTCGGAAAATGATCTGTGAAGTAACTCTGATTTCAACCGGTGACTTTAGATAACTTCTTTTTGACTGAGAGGTAAGAACAACATTTGTATCACTGACCCATTTTGAAACAGTGAATTCTTTGCTTAAATTGTTCCATAGGTAGGACAAGGAACACACTCAGGAGTGAGTCAACAGCTGTAAAAAGCCCACAGCGCTTTTCCTTTACTGTCTGTGCTCAGTTTGCTTGCATTAATTCCTGAGCTTAAGTGTAGAAATTCAGGAACTGGGAGAAACCTAATGAGCCGGGGGAATTTACAGCTAAGAGTTGCAGTAAAAGTTTTGCAATGACAAGAGACTTTCAGTGTGTAGTAGTATCCGTGGTAATGTGCTTTTGCACTTGATGCATCAAGCATCTTCTGGTGGTGTCTCTTAAACTGCTTCCTGAACCTTGCTTCTTTAAACCCCATTGAACTCCCTGGGGTTTTATGTTTCAGGCGTGTAAGGACTTTGCTAGCAAATACACGTGTGCTGCCCCTGGGCAATGTGCTGGACCTTAACCTGGGAGGACAGACTGCTTTTTTAAGCAGGGTCTGACAGTTTCCATTTCTTCTTAGCCTGTACACAGATGAGAGGTCTCACCTTAAAAGTGATGCTGACTTTTTGTGTTTGTGTCAGTGAAAACAGATGTTTGACTGTCCAAAGCGTGATCGGATGGCAACACCTCAGGCACAGTCACTGGGAGCAAGCCCTGTGTGAAGGGAAATCTTTACATCCTGTGGAGAGCACTGTGAGCCATCCATTTACCTTGGAAATGCCAAACTGAAAGTGAATAGTACTCTCACTCTTGGCAAGGTTAATTACAGCTTGCTCATTGAGGTATTGCTCAGCGTCTGTCTCTGTAACCTACTGAATTGGGGAATTTATTGAGCTTTTGGAGGGGTGCTGGTTTCATTTGCTTTGTACGTTTTGATGAATGCTGGAAGTGGTATGTGATGGGTGGGTTATTTCCCATTTTGACAAATCGTGTAGTGTAGTGGTGGAGCACGACAGCCCATCTAGTGTAGTGATAGAGATAAGCATCAGTCATTGCAAGAGTCGCCTTGCCAGTTATTCTTGCTATTGCTTGTTGTTCCCAGCTTCCTTCCCCCACGTTTTGCTCAGGTGCTGGTTTCTTATGGTCAAGAATGGGGAAGATTATAACCCAGTTAGAGCTGGTGGATGTCAGTTCTTTCATCTTGAACATGTTAAAAGGCAGCATCTGGACCGTTTAGATCCTGCAGATCTTACTCCTCATCACTGTTCCTGGTCCCCTCATCAAGCAAAGTTTTTTCTCATCTTTCTGTTAGTTTTCATAAGGTGCAAGAAAAGCTGTGGACATTCACAGTTTCTGAACTATGTGTTCCCACATTCTGGCTGGGCTGGAAAGTTATCACCCTGCCCTCTTTTGGATTAATATGGTATTTGGTAAGGTTATGACATGCTCTAATCTATTCCATTTTGCTGCTTCTGACTCCTGAGCTTTGATGCCTCTGGCAACTGCAGAAATAAATCACTGGAGCTCGCTGACAGAAATTGCCTTGAAACAAGCTGCACATGATTCACAGCTAAACGTTGTTATTAGCAAGTATCTAGAGAGTGTATCTCTTCTGCATTTAAACAAAAGATTGCAAACCCAGATTGCCTTATTTGGCAAGATTTATATGAAAAAGTTTTTTCCAAAAACTTCACTGTTAAGTGCTTTTGCTTATGTTGTCAGTATCTGATGTTCTTTCAACCTATCTGGTGTGAAAACCTTTCCTATTTCTTTACCAGTACTATTGATTAAAATGCCGTTTACATTTCTTGGGAAAATTTGATATTCAAAAATGTCTTTTCACTGTGAGTCAGAATGTACTTTTCCATGGAATAAAAATTCTGGAAAGGGAAAAAAATGCTATTGGAAATGTTGAACAAATTATATTGTCATTTCAACCAGGTTATATAAGAAAAAAAGAAATAACTTCAAAGTCAGAATGAAGGGCTCTGGTGTTTTTGTCATATTTTGAGAAAATTAGTACATTCTTCTGAAATAGTTCTATTTTATCTGTTCAGCATTTTCCATATGAAACTCTTTGAGAATGTTCTGTACTGGCCCAAACTCCAAGTTCCTATTTAACTGAATTGGCTGATTCAAATTACACGTTAAAAATGAATTATGAAGTTTTTTCTCTTTTTGTCTGCAGCCACTGATGTTTCTTCTAGAGCTAATTTAAGAAGGGTTTGTGCCCAGTACTCCATAGTGGTTCATAGTTCTAGTGCTCTAACTGCTGTATCCCATGGTAAAAGTATTTACAGTAATTCTCTGGTTTTGAAGAAAAATGGGCAAGGGAGAGCTTTGGAATGTAACAGGTTAAAACATAACTTTGCTGTTAGCCCTGCTGCAGCTTGCAGATTAGGGATCAAAAAATTACTGGTATAATTACTGCTGGTTTGGATGCCTTCACATGGTGCTCTCCCTGTCGATATTACTGTGGTCGTATTACACCATACTACTATGGTGATTTTGTGGTTTTTAAGCATTCCTTTCCCTTTAATTGAAAACACCTTTGTATGCTAAACAGGACCTGCGTTCTGCTCAGCACTGTGCACTGAGATGTTGCCTAAATTAGAGGAAATGCACCCAGTGGTGAGATCTGCTTTGCACTCCTCTGAATAAAAGGATTCCCCCAGGATAAGGGGGATACCCCGAGGGTGAAGGGATTTGGTTTTTCTTTGGATATGCCTCCCATGTGTTAAAATCCCTGACACTCACCAGTTTACCCTAATTCTTTGCAGTTTGAGCTGTCCTCTTCTAGCACTGTTGGCAGGCACTGGCAGGAGGACTAATCAGGAAAAGTGCTTTAGGGATGTGTCTTGAGGTGGGGGCACATACTGTCATGCTGTTGCAGGCAGAAGTTTATCTAACTTGTTCAGAAAGACAGAACTTCTATACTTTTCCAGCATTATAGTATTCTGGTTAGTGATTTTTTTCTCAGTGTGTGACTTGCTGCAATTTAATTAAGCCCATTATTCCTTGTCCTAACCACTGTGGTCATGTACAGCAGGCATTATCATATCTCATTACACTTGTCCGTTCTCTGCACTAACCAGTACTTTCGTTTTACTACAGATTATTTTCTAGGCCTTGGTGCTCTGCTTTGGATTCTCTCCAGTCATCCCATCATCTATCTTGAAGTGTGTTGCCTCAAACTGGACACAAGACTTCAGCAGAAGCTTTACCAGCCCCAACTGGAGGGAGAGAACACCTCAACTGGTCTCAGTGGTGTCAGAAAGATGAATTTTCTCCTGAGCTTCTTTTCCCCACTCTGAGTTGCCACAAGTACTTGTTCAAGTCTGGCTGATGTCCATGTGATTTGGCACCTGATTTATCTGTTCTCTGTCTCAGCTTCCTTACAAGTCAAAAAGAAAAACTTCTGTATATATTTTACCTCCTATTTAGCCATCTGAAATTCTTGGATGAGGGGCACATGTAAAGTAAGTGGAAAATGACCAATGTATTTGTAAGCCGATTAAAAGCTTAGCAGAAGAGAAGAAAGAGACGAGATATTTTATAAAATACTGGAAGGTACAGACAAATACTTTTCAGTTTGAACTAGAACTTTATTTTGGAATTGCTTAGGAAGAGGTTGGAAGTCTGCCACCCTGTAATAGTCTTACATTGTAGGAAACCAATAATACCTCTGCCTCCTCTTGACCTATATAGTTCACAGATTCTAACTGGGTTGTGCAAGACTGAGCTGTTAATTTTATAAAGTAAATACAAGAAGAAAAAATTACAGGCTGACTTGTGCTGCAGAGTGTGGATTCACACTACCATTTAACCCCAACTTCCAACGTTTGGCTTGGCTGGTATACACAAAATCCTCATGACAATGGAAATAACACGTGTCTTTTTTTTTTTTTTTTTGATGGCATGCAGTCAAGTGCATTCAGAATATAAAATTTGTGAAGAGATTTTCTGTAGGCTTCTGCAAAACTGTGTTAATTTCACCTCAGAAGAAGAAGCACTGGAAAAAATGGTGCTCTAAGTAGCTTTCATCATTGTGTGTTTATATGTTTAAAAGAAATAGGCAGATTCAGCTTGATTTCACTGGATATATTTCTGGCATTTGTATTATTTCAGGGACCTAAGATTTTATGATGTCAAGAAACTTGATAGGATAGTTTCTCAAGGAGACAACTGATGGAAAAGTATTGAGTTGGGTTTGATATAGCAAGTTTTTGTGTGATGTGGCTCTTTTACACACCGTGCTTCTGCTGATGCATTTAGAGTACTGGTACAGTGGTACATACAGCAGAGACCATTGAGAAAGAGAATTTTACTTGGTTGTATAAAAGGGATGAGGAATGTCTTATTTGCTGATATTACTCCAAAGCCATGTTCTACTTTTGATGAAACTGAATATTCATCCGTTGCAGAGTTTCACTGCAAGAGAATGCTGAATTGCCTGGACACAGGTGATTTTATGGAGCACGAGGGCTGGACTGGAGGTTCCCTAGATGTCCTCAGCTGTAGTGAGAGGCAGTCCCCTAGATCTTGCAATGTAAGGTCTGAATGAGGTTGTTTCTAGTACTGTAGGAAGGTAATATTTGCCCAGGTCTCAGGGAAAGACAAGAATAATATTTTAGAGCAATTTTTAGGGAGTAAATCCCCAGGTCAAACTAATTTTTTTTTTTTGTTTTGACATAATTATGGCTTTGAGCGTCTTCCTGGACACAAACATCCAGAGACTGCTTGTATTTAAGGCTGACTTTATTCTGCAAGTTTGAACTCATCCTACTTTGAAATATAGCCAAGGAAATTACTGAATTTCTAGCCCTAAATGCAGCTATGTTTGATTTCAGGTGTGGCTGTCCTCATAAACTGAAAAATATGTCTATCCGAGGCCTGAAGAAGAAACAACCAAAGACATTTAAAGTCAAAATTATAACAGTGGATGCTGAAATGGAATTCAGCTGTGAGGTAAGAGCTCTCAGAAAAATGCTGGAAAGTTGGAGATTGCCCTTTATATTAGCAAGATGTACCCTTGAAAATTCTCTGAAAATCCATAGTTATCATTTAAAAGCCACATTTTTTGAATGTGACAAGGTTCTTTAAAACGCAGGCCTGGAGAAACAAGTCTGGTCAGAGCTGGTCCTAAGATGTTGCTTATACACTAACGTACAAAATGATGCTCCACGTTTGTTGATCTGGGAAATTCTCTTCAAATGTGATTCGCCATCTGTAAACTCCAGTTTCTTTCTTTAGCTGTAATGGCTGGCTTACATCTTATCTGGGTACGAGAGAAAAATGATCAAATGTAAAAGTTAGCTTTTCTTCTATTAATTATGGCTCTCTAGTAAATTGGATAGACTGCAGAAAAATGTGGAAGAATACATATATAGCAAGCAATCGATTGATAAATGAATTGGGCTGCACTGTTGAGGAGACAGAACTGTGCCTGATTAATTCCTAATCATCCAACAAAAGCAAAAAAAAAAAAAAAAAAAAAAGCGCAATTACTTTGAGAAGGCAAGCTAGAAAACTAAGGTCCACTAGGATAGCAATTTTAATGAGAGAGATGACTGTTGTGGGGCATTTAATATTTCATTTACTTGATCCCTCAGAGACAATATACTAGTCAAAAGCACTGGACTTCTGTAACTTACAGATCTAAAGTACTTGCAAGCAGGGTTGTGAAAATAGAATTTGGAAAATTTGGTTCGGAGCTCAGAATCCTGTTAGCAAATCCAGCTTGATATATTCTTTCCTTTGCTATCACTCGCTCTCCCCCAGTACTGCTTTTTTTCTGGGTGGATATCCTGCTTTCCATCCAAATAATGCCCCGAAGTGTGTTTTTTTTTTTTTTTTTTTTTTTTTTTTTTGCCATTGAGTTTAGTGGCTGACCCTGCAATGAGACAAAATCATCTTTTAATATGTAGCCAAACAGAAGAAACAGATGTGCAGCCTCTTCAGTGAAAAATGAGACATCATGTGTGTGTGAATTTTGGGACCTTTAATCAAAGTTTCTGTTCTCTATGGAGCTAGGCTAGTAAATTAGATTAGATTGCTTTTTTTTTTTTTTTTACTGGATAAAAAAAAGATCCCGACTATACTGCGCACTAAATCCTACTCCAAGAAGACAGACTCCTGCTCATTTAAATCAGAGTAGCATAAAGGCTTGGCTTGTTGCCACTGAAATAGCTGAGGTATGTGAAAGATGGATTTGCTTTGATTGTTTGGCATTTCTACTCTGTGCCTTGACACTCCTTTGATTTCCCCCTGGCCTTCTCTCAAGACTCTTTAATTTGTGTAAACTGTTGAATAAGATTTTTACAAATATTAATAAAGCTTTGCTGGGTCCTAGGAGATCAGTAGTACAATCCTCATTCCCTCTGCTCATAAAGTGCTTGATGCTGTGATTAAATGCCTGCAGCTTTGAATCTTTGGAGGAAAGGAAGAGGAAGTAGAACATTACAGCTCATGTACCTTTGCTGTAGGCAGCAGTAGGCATGTTTCTTTGTCAAGCTAAAGGTGAAATAATAGTTTGTAGGGGAAAGGCAAATGGTAACCTGGTTTGCTCGCCAAAAATGCGGCAAGTTCAGTCAGGATAAATATGTTTTGTATTATTTTCTTTTTCTTTTCTAGATGAAGTGGAAGGGAAAGGACTTGTTTGACTTGGTGTGCCGAGCACTTGGTTTAAGGGAGACCTGGTTCTTTGGTTTGCAGTATACAATGAAGGGAATGTGCACCTGGTTAAAGATGGACAAAAAGGTACAGAAAACAAAAATAGTAACCTGCAATCTTCAGCTCCTAAATGACTTACTTTTTCTTTAAGCTCAGGAGCTAAAGGAACGTGTTAAATGACAACCCATAATTCTAGATGATATCATTTTTTTTAGAATTGAATTTCATTGTGTTATGCAATCTTCTTGTTTAAGGTTTTGTCTGAAGTGTTACCACTATATGCACTGCTTCATAATATATAATATATGCACATATTCATATAATCACCACTATATGCATTTATTGCATTAAAGCTCAGCATTGCCCTTCCTTCTAGAACATGGAAATGCTGCCTTAACTGGATTATTAGCTGCCTTCTGATTTTCCTCTGGAATAATAGTTTGAGACATTTCTGTACCATTTTTACTGCTGATTTTGGTTTTATTTTTAAGCAGGTTTTAGATCAAGAAATCCCCAAAGAAGATCCCATTAGCTTTCATTTTTTGGCTAAATTCTACCCCGAGAAGGTAGAAGAGGAACTGTTACAGGAAATTACCCAGCATTTATTCTTCCTTCAGGTCAGGAACATTTTTTAAGCCATTAATTCCTTCTGTGTTCACCCCAGTCCCCTTATAATGTCTTTGATCTTGTTGGCTGTTGTTAGTCTCAGAATGACTCTGCTGGCTTCAGCCATACCATTGTCTATGTAAATATCTAATTTTTATAAAATACAAACATCTCTCCTGGCTACTGTGGTTTTGTATGATGTTAAGTTGAATGTTTGCCTTCTGCAGGCTTTTGTTCTCATGATGGCTTCTCATACTGCTTGTGCTAGGAATGGGAGTTAAATTGCTGGGACCTGTAGTTTCATGTAAAATGATTTTTACACCTATCGGGGAAGAATCGGGGAGAAGAGGTAGCAGTGTTGGTCATACTCAATTTTTAATTTTGGGAAGAAACTCCATATGGGTTGGAACTTTTTGAGTCAAGTCTGCCTGTTCCCGTGTTGTATTTCTGATTTAGCAGCTTCTCCATAGCCATTCTCAGAGGTGCTTTCATAACTGGTCCTGATATTTTCACACTCAGAGGACAAGTAATCTTAGATTTATTTGTTCATTTATTTCCACTGCCAGGCAGACACCAGGGCTCTTTTCCCCAGCATAATTAGGACATCCTGACCAGCTTCTGCATTTATCTGTTACAAGTATTCTGTTTTCTGAACTCTGTGAAGGTTCTTCTTATGTTAGATTTTAAGCCATCCATATACCACTTAAGGGTAACCACAGTGCACATTTTACCATGCTTCCTGCCCTTTTGGAGCACTGCCTAAAGTAGTTGGTCTGGGAATTAGTTTCTTAAGGTTCTTGCCCTAACTGTTGAGGGGTGAGAAGTATAGAGTGAAGTCCCCGTTTTTATCAGCTTCAAGAGTCATCTTGAGGACTGTGTCACCTGGTCTGCTCTGGCTGCAGCTAAACTGAAGAGTCTCAAAAGCTCCTTGTCATCTTCTCTTAGAACTGCTGGTGCTCTTGAGTAACCATTCCTTAACCTGGTTCTTTCAAAACGAGAAGGATTAGAAGAGACCTGTTATTAGGTGTATGAACTGTGCGAGGGAGTGACTACACAGCAATTATGGTGGCAGTCGTGAAGGTGAAGAAGAGGAAAGGAATGGTGATAAGCACTTGGGGACAGTAAGTTTTTTTCACTGATACCAGCTGCAGATGTAACAAGACCCATGACTGCAATCTACCCCTAAAACTAAAACTCCCAAGCTTCTAAAAATAGTCCAGGTGATTACTGGAAGATCTTGTTGTGTAAGACTATAGAAGGCATAATCACTAGAAAACAAGAACTACCTAACCTGTCCTTTTTAGATCTTATTTTTGGATTGTAGGGGAAAAGATCACAATTTGATATCCACCCTGAAATACATAGGTTTGCTTATCTAACAAGCTTCAACAGGACAAAAGCAGCATAGAGACAGCTGCAGCAATAGGCTATAGCTGTAACAGTAGCTGTATAAGCATTGAGTTTTTGGGATGATCTCTTGGTGGTCAGCTGTATTTTCCAACATCTTTGCCATCCATCTTCTCTCCTGAGTAGCTGTGGGATCTTCTGAATGTTACAGACTCTACTGTGTTGCTTTATTCGGTAGCTTTCAGTAGGATGTGTCCGTGCAAGTAGGTTGGCTTATGGAATAAAATCAGTCTGCATCTGTAAATAAACACAGTAAATACACAGGTTCCCTGAGGAGGATGTGCTAATGAAGGAATGGGAAAATGCTGTTATTCCAAAGGTTAACAAGCTAACTATAATTTTACCAGAACCCTTAACCATTTGGAAATTTGCTTCTTAAGCTAAGTTTGGAAAGGAGTGAGGGGGGCAGAACTCTTCCTACTCTTTTAATCCTGATTTCTTTTCACGTTTTCTCCTTGAACCTGCCTTGACTAGCAGATATGCAATTAGCAAATTCTTCTCATTCCAAAGTAGAAAAACAAGACAGAAACAAATTTGGACTTGCAAAGTTTCCTGGCTATAAGAACTTAAGATCACACCTGGATGCCAATAGGAAAAACATGTACAGACATCTGGATGCTTACAGATTTCAGTTCTACTCACTATTCAGACTTAGATGTTAATGTGGCATAACGTCTTTTTGCTAAATGTGTGAATAAACATCAATGACTAAAGCTACATTTTCTGTTTAACGATTAGATAGCTTACTCCTTTTACAAGGATGTTTTGTTATACTACTTTATAGAAATGATCAAAAAAAACCCCACCCAGACACTTATAGGAGATTTATCTTACGTTGTTCTCAATTCTGAAATATATTATTTGCACCAAGGAGTATGAAAGCCAGAGCTTTCCAATTTGGAAGAAAAGTCTTTTCATTCTTTCCATTTTAACAGCTTAGAAAGAATTTTCCCTGTACTATAACTCAGGTTATATATTGTGCTCACCCGAGACTAAATTCGAAAGAAAAACTTTCTTGATGGTTCATTTCAGTTCACAGCACCTACAGTTCTAAGTGTCTTTGTAAAGGCAGCTCAAGCATTATCTCAAGTAATTTTTCTTTTTGGAAATGCTTAAGACTGTGAATTATGTAAAATTTTCTTATCTTGTGCTTGTTAGTAGGCTAAATACATTACACCTGAGAGGAAGATTTGGGAAGATTAATTTATTCTTCCCCCTTCAGGTTTCCAGGTAAAAGTTGCCCAACATATTTAAAATCAAGCAACGTCTTACAAGCTATTACACCTCTGATCATGCTAGCACCATGGAGTACTAAAATGAAAAGAATGCTAAAAGACTCTTTACCATTTCTACTATGCTTTTATTTTTAAGCCACTATGTTATTGTTGTACTTAGACCATTGTAACTGAATAAATCTAATGCTCTATTAGGCAGTTTCTCTTTGTGAGGTGCCCTTCATTCTTCTGGAAAGCTTTTAAAGATTCTATGAATGGTTTTAGTATAATATCTCTGTCCTTGACAACATTCAAAAGGCAGCTGGACAGATCCCTGAGCAATCTGGTCTAGTTGGACTTGCTTTGAGTGGGTGACCTCCAGAGGTTTGTCCTGACCTAAAATTCGGATATGTTACACGTTATAAAGCTAATGTTTTTTCTAGCTAAACATTCTTCTTGTTGTGGTTGTGTAGCTCTTTAGTGCTATTTTAGATGGCAGGTCAAATGATTGTTTGGTGTAGCACATTTAGTATGACTGAATACAAAGAAGTTACGATGATTTGCAATAGCTAAGGAACACACCTGCTCTTATTCAATGCTGAAGGTAAAAATGGTACAGCTTCATTCAGGGAAATGAGGCGGTAATAAAAGGGAGTGTGACAAAGGTCCTTAATTCTGTTTGTATGATGGAAGAATAATAAAAAGCCCAATGAACCAATATTAACAATTTTCCACTCGTTTATGGAAAAGGTCTTTTTCTGTCATTCCAAGCTGAATAATGTGATTGAAAATACAACAGTTGATTATGTTTTCATTGAATTGTCTTTCTGAAATTAAAATACTTCATCAGCTCTCATGCTTATTTCTAGGACTATAATTTACAGGCAGGTTTTAGCTTTTTGGCATCCTATAGAAGCCATGAAATAAAGGTCATTTTGTACTGCTAGACTGAAGTAAAGATACCTTCCCTATGAGGCCTCTAATCTCTGCAAGGGGCATTAGCAGAAAAATTTCAGGAAAGTGCTTGCAGTAGTTCTGTACTTTTTTGATAGTGTCTGATAAAATGCACTTACTAATTTATTCATGGTGCTGTACAAACTTTAGGAAGAACTAACTGTATCATAAGCAGGAAGTAAAAATAAAAAAAAATCTAAAAGGAATGAAGTGCAGATAATAAATGTGTTCTGTAGCAGATTCTTTTTCAGGACTCTCTATATAAATGCGGGGAGATAGCTGTCTGGCAGTTCTATGAACTTAGAATTAAAACACTTTAACCTCCAAAAATTATTTTCATTAAATGTAATGTTATGGTTTCTTGTGTTTCTGAATGCCTCTTTGTTGCTGCTGTTAACTTGTGATGGTTGGTGCCAAGTTATAGTCCAGGCATGTCTAATTTAATTTCAGGCCTGACATAAGTCTTGAGTATGAGCTTCTTCAACTTGTTCCCTTTTTCTTCTGATTTAGGTTAAGAAACAGATACTGGATGAAGAAATCTATTGCTCTCCAGAGGCAACAGTTTTACTGGCTTCTTATGCTGTTCAGGCCAAGGTCTGTGCATAGCAGTACTCTTATTTATTTTTAACAAACACATATACAGGGTGGTATGTAAAACACAAGCGTTAAACTTTGCTATTAAAATAGGTCATGCTGGGAAGCACAGGTGCAGCTGGAAAAATAAGCATTAGATGCCATTACAAGGATTTGAGGAAGAAATTAGTTTGCTGTTTTATACTATGCTTTCAGTTTAGAGGATTTCTTTTGATGTAGCATTTTAATGTATTTTTTTCTCCAAATTGGTATTATTTCCTGCTATTAAAGTGTCCATGGATACAGAGGTGCTGATACCATGAGCTTACAATGGTGTGATATTCTTTAGTAGCTTTCACAACATAGTTACCTTCATGCCACCAAGAGCCCAGCTCATAAAATGGCAGGAGGGGAACACAAATTAGCAGAGCTGGCCCTCTGCAGCAGCCCAGCCTACATACAGTAGGAGGAAGTGAGCTTACACTGCACAACATATTCCGTAGTTCAGAGGAGGGTGTGAAGTCACAGCAGATCCCTTTACATCTTCAGTTACCAAGAGGTGCAGGCGAGGGCTGAAGTGTAAGGTTACAGGCCACATTAGGGGGTGCACTGGAACCAAATGTATAGCACAAAGTCTGGAACTGACTTCCACAGATGGTTCAGATGAGGGGAGCCTGTTTTATTACCCTTACACTGTATATGGGAGAACCAAACAACATCTGTCTCGAGCAGTTGCATCAAACTGCAGCCAGAAAGTTCTTCAGCTTTCTGCATCTAAAAAGCTGAAATCTCTTTTTTTCTTCCTTGGGACAGTATGGTGACTACGACCCAAACTTTCATGAGCCAGGCTTTCTAGCCCATGATGAACTTTTACCCAAACGGGTAAGTTTTTATTCTGTATAAAACCAAACTTTTGAATCTGTGCTTTGATGAAGAGCTGGTACTGCTTTGGGACTAACCAGAGCATTAGATACTGATTGTGTTAGCCTTGAACTTGCTGAAATGACCAAGCTGTGAACCGCATGGTTGCATTCACATTGCCTGGGAGAGGAAGCACACGTATTTGTATCTTCAAAGGGAAACAGACTTCTTCCTTTCTCTCTAGGTCCTCAGGCAGTATCAATTGACAGCAGAGATGTGGGAAGAAAAGATTACTGCTTGGTATGCTGAGCACAGGGGTATTGCTAGGTATGAAATAATTTAATTCTTTGGAAATCCTGTTACGTTTCAGTACCTAGTTATTTGCTGTCTTTATTGAAATTTGGATTTTGTAAGTGAGCAAAGAGATCCTGGGTTCCAAGCTACGCTGCTAGGTTTGTTTATTACTAAGGGATAAAACATCCATTCACCCAGGGTAAAAAGTATCTTGTGTAGGGCACTGAGTGCTTGTAAACTGGACTTGGTTTGAAGTGAACAGGGAAGTTGAAGGCTCTTGCTGGGCTTCACAACCTAACATGTTTAAAATCTGATATTTTATACCTTGTTAAAAGCATGGTTCAAAAAGGTGTCCGCATACTTAGTAAGGTACCAAAGCGGTATAGACATTGCATTGCAGTTCCAGGACCAAATTTTGGTGCGGTTCCATGTGGGTGTTCAGCTACTTCTAACACATTCAGCATGCCTGGAAGTTCAATTAAACATGAGGTAGGAGCTGCTGGCACCCAGAGGCAGCCATTCCTAATACTTCAGTTCAATTTTTCTTTGGCTGTTCTGAATGCTTCTTAGCACTATCTTTCCTGAATATTTTCCTCAAGACTCGATGCCTCAGTTTGGAGGGAGGACAACGATGGGTGGAGAGACTTACTTTTCTTTGGACTATGCCCAGAGCACTCATTCTCAACGAACTCTGCTTCCTGAAGGGAATATCCTCATGTTATGGAAAATAGTGGTAGAGTAGATCTCCAAGAGGTGATAATGGAGTGGCAAAACTAACATACAAGGATAAGACTGGACTTGAATTTTAATAAAGATTGCACTATACCTGACTCAAATAAAAACGGATACAGCTTTGTCTTCTGTAGAGATTATTTATTTTTTTTTTATCATCCTTTTTCTGTTGAGGGTAAGACAGTAAAATTAATGAAAGCACAAAGGACCAGAATGCCCGTTCTTTTTGAACTGGGAAATACACTGTCAGGACAGAAAGATTGTATAGGAGTCACCTGCTGTAATCGGTCTTATTCTCTAGGGATGAAGCTGAGATGAACTACCTGAAAATTGCCCAAGACTTGGAAATGTATGGTGTCAATTATTTTCCCATTGCTGTAAGTACTTTATTTTAGCAATTTGCTATTGCTGTATTTGATGGTAGTGTCATTTTAAAAATTGTATAGGGGGCTTGGGGCTGGGACTCCTGGGTTCTGCTTTCCTCTGCTGTGGGTGGGCTCTGTAGTGATTGTCCTGACTTGGTTTACTTACCTGTTAATTGAGTAGGTGAATACAACAGTAAACATTAATGTTCTATCATTTGACAAAGGTCTTGGGTATGTAACAGGAAGAAGGATAAATAAACTAGAAACTTGAGCTGCTTTATTCAGCCGGGTGTGCTAGCTAATAGTAGCAACGTTCCTAATCTGTTTTGTAGGAACAGCCTTTTCTTAAAAATTCAAATATCCGTTTATTAGAGTAATTGTGGTTCTTGTCTGTAATTGTTCTATGTTACTATAAATAGGACTTACTGATATCTGTGTTTTTTTTTTTTTTTTTTTTTTTAGCAAAATAAAAACCATACAGATCTCCTACTTGGAGTTGATGCCAAAGGTATTCATATCTACAGCATTAATAACAGGTTCTCTCCAAATAAGTCATTTGAGTGGAGTGCTATCAGAAACATTTCCTATAGTGAGAAGGAGGTATGATGGCTCTGATATATTATTCTTTTTATATGGGCAAGGGTGTGGACTGGGATTCTTGGAACAGGCTGAAAGCGGTCTCTGTTTAAATAATTTGGGGGAGGGGGAAAAATCCTAGGGAGCTCTGTTACAGTTTTAGTTCCTAACAAACTTGCCTTTCCGATGTGCTGCATAATCTTGGTTCCCCTAGGAGCCAAGGGCTGCTCTAAGCTCTCTAAAATTGTGGAGCCCACTATTCTGTTTCCTTCCCTGCTGCTTGTCGTTTGCAAAACAAGAGTGTTGGTCTCTGTAAAAGATAGATATTACGAATGCCATCACGGCTGACTTTAGTTATCTCAGCAGGAATTAGATGATCTGTAAAGACTTAATGCTAGTTTTGCATGCAGAAGTTGTCCCAGTAGATGAGGTTTGAAGCACACTGGCAAGCGGAGACATGCAGGGAGATGTAAGTGTTTTTCTGCCTCAATTCTACTAGTTTATCAGTGAATGATTTCAGTCTTCAGCACAGCCCTACCATTACAATTTCACTGTGATTTCAGAGTCCATCTTATACCTGAATACAGTACACTGGGGAGCAGGTGAAATTTGGAGTTATTTCAAGTCATGTGGCTACGTGGAAGGCTATAATCAGAAAAAACAAAACCAGAAAAATCACATTGGTACCAGCATACTTGGAATTTGTCAGCCAAAGGACAACGTGCCTTATTCCTTTCTTTCTCTGGACCATTTGAAAAACACTGAGGATGAGATTTGCTGTCCAGGCTTAGCTCTGCATACATTAAATCAATCAGGGCAGCATACAGGAAAGTTCTACCTCCAAGGAGTTTTGTTTTCTTATCGTTAAACTTCCCCTCTGGTCTGTGAATAAGCTGCTTTAGCTCCCTATTGTTGGGAAATTGGGCAGCCCTGTAGGAAAGCTCCACTGTATTTGGTGTCACGTTCACAGTTCAGCTCCTCACAAGGCAATGCATTAAAGCAGCTGTTACCTACAGGGTGAAACAGGCTGGAGGATGTTAAGATCTTGATGACTCAGATGGCCTGAAATTATACATTGCATTACGAATGAATTATAGGAATTGAGTGCTAACCCATGAGTCACAGAGAGCAGGATCTTAAAGAATGGAGCTGTTTTTTTGTTATGCAGCCAAACTGAGCTCAGCATATGAAGTAAAACAGTGTGTACTGACCTGGCAGCATGAAAGCCTTTCATGTCCTCTGGAAACAGCTTGGGAGATAGGACTGGAAATGTGAGAAAGCAGGAGCTTCGGTACTGTTATCTCGTGGTCAGAAGAAAAAATCCTTCAGGCCTTTGTAATACATTTTGTTTACATCTGCAATGATTGGGATTCAGAGAGGTGTTTGACATCTCCCTGACGTTACTAATCTCCAGAAGGAGTCATATTCTTAATGTATTCTGTTTTCCTGATAACCAGGGCTTGCTTCAGCGTTCTCAGGATAGTTTGCAATGCACAGGTGGTATTGTTATGAAAAACACCATCCAAACTGGCACCAGGTGTGGGGCTGTGAGAGGCTTTATCTTCTAAAATGCCCTGCTATTTTAGATGAGCAGATGAGGAACCTGTGTAACAGAGAACAGCCCTGGTTCTGATTCTTGTGAGCAAAACACTTCTGCATCGCTCTCCCTGTATTTGTGGCATAAATCACTGCCTCCCTGGAGAGAAGTGGAGATGGACTAAAGTTTGCATTAATATTAAATAGTTTCAGCTTTGTTTTTCTTCCTTTTCACTGCTTCCTCTGTTTTTATCTTCTGTCTGAACAGTTAACTATTAAACCTCTTGACAAAAAAGCAGAAGTCTTCAAGTTTTTTTCCTCTCAGCTAAAAGTAAACAAATTGGTAAGTGTCCTGTTTTCCTCCTTTAAAACCGGGCCTGGCAGTACTGAGTGATACCCGAGTGAGAAATGTTTGTCTGCGAAACCGATGTAGAGGCCAGGGAGCATTGAGTTTCAGCACATGTTTTCCATAGGATTCTTCTGTCTGGGAAGTCAGGGTACATATGTTTGTCCTCTCCCTGTTGGGAGGGGAGATGGTGGGTGAAAAGTGAGATGCGAAAGAAGGCCCAAATCACAAAGGGAAATCCAATTACTGGAAGGGGAGGGTGTAGCATATGGAAAAGTGCAAAGCCTGCTGCAGCGACTGCTTATCTGGCTGCTGTGCATTCTTAATCGGCTGTTGCCTCTCCTTTTCTGGGAGAAGCAACAAGGGAGGGACCCAATCAACTTGTTAATTCTATTATCACTGACTGCTTCCTAGCACAGCTGCAGGGGCTGGATCACTTCTCAATGACCTTGTGGTTGAGGGGCCACCACAGCTGACCATTCCCACATAGCTGCCTCCTGCGTACTCCTGGCCTAGACCCTCTGCCTGTTCTTTTTCAGGCAGTTGAAACCAGACAGGGATGAAGGATGGAAGGAGAACCCCCTCATCCTGTTATGTTTTCTAAACTGTACCTGAGGATGAGCCTGCTCTGGTGTCACTTTTCTTGGAAGGAAAGCAACTGCCAGCACTTGTGCTGAAGTCAGAAGTGTTACCTTCTGTCCTGTGAGACTGGTGTGGGGCTCTTTCTGCCCCTCTGGATGGGGTGCCGCTATGTCACAATCTCATTTGCTTTGCTTTTCCTATCCAGATTTTGCAGTTGTGCATTGGAAACCACGACCTGTTTATGAGGAGAAGAAAAGTGGACTCAATAGAAATCCAGCAAATGAAAGCACAAGCTAGGGAAGAAAAGGCTAGAAAAAAGGTAGATTATTTTTGCTCCTCTGTTGCTGAAAACACTGATTATTATTCCAGCTGGTGCCCTCGCTGTCCATGTACTGCATCAATATGTGTGTGGGAGGTGAGAAAGTGCAGCAGGATTGAGTGTGGGAACAGCTCTAGTGTGTATGCGGCTTCTGAGGATGTAAGTGATGTTTGTGAAACTGAAGGGCTGATCACAAAGATTTGGGGTACGTAACAGATCGATGCAAGTGTTCTTCCAGCAGCCTGAAATAACCAGTGTTGCCAGTTAGTGGAGTTCAATGCTGCTAAAGTGCAAGTAGCTTCAGCATTGCATCTCTGCTAAATGTCAACTCACCAGCTAGAGAGCAGTCCGTTCGTCAGTAGATTCATTTGCTGTGCTGCCTCAGGCCCAGATGAGATCCTGCTGCAAACCCACAAATGTGGTATTTCTCATTCTCTTTCCAGATGGAGAATCAAAGGCTGGCCAGGGAGAAGCAGCTCCGAGAAGAAGCTGAGCGAGCCAAAGAAGAGCTGGAAAGGCGTCTCTTCCAGCTGGAAGATGAAGCCAGGCAGGCCAATGAGGCCCTGGTGAGTAGCACGTAAGCTGAATATTCTTGCACTTGAAGGGGTTTCTTGGTTTGGAAGCTTTTTTTCTCTTACGGCTTCTGTGAGGCGCTAGAAGTTATGGCTTATGCAAGGCTGGACAGTTTCTGGTCAGTGGTAGAGAAGGCATGCTGGAATTTGCTGTGAGCCGTTCTCCCTGTGTTCACAGCACTTTCTTCAAGCAAAGAGGAGAGGAAGTAACCTTGTGAGCTGAAACTGGGAGAAAGAAGGCTTAGTGCATGTTGCATGTGGCATTGGCAACTGAAGGGGGCAACTTGTGACAGTTTTTGGTTGATATCTTTGCCCAACTCTGAACAAATGTCTCCTTGTATAAAAGTGAGAGGCAGGAAGGAAGTTGGGCAATTCTGGAGCAGAGGAGGAACACCAGACTACAATTGTTTACTTTTTATTGTAGGGATTACTATATTTATCCCTTGATCTGTTCAGGAAAGATAATCTTCTTCCTGACTGGCTGCAAGGGTGAAATTGTAGATGCTAGACAGGGTAACTACAAAAAGTTTTTCTCTTAGCTCCGATCCCAGGAAGCGGCAGAGCTGCTGGCAGAGAAAGCTCAGATTGCGGAAGAAGAAGCAAAACTGCTGGCCCAGAATGCTGCAGAAGCAGAGCAAGAGCGACAGAGGCTGGAGATAACAGCTCTGAAAACCAAGGAGGAGAAACGCCTGATGGAGCAAAAGATGAGGGAGGCAGAGCTGATAGCAGTGAAGCTGGTGAAGGAGTCTGACCGGAGGTTAGGTTTGCTTGAGTGGGGCTGTGTAGCCCCTGTTGGATTGCTTGGGTAGAGAGAATGCTACTTTTCTCAGAGCAGGAGGGTGGTGGGTAGAAGGGGAAGGAGAGCAGTAGGGAGGGATTTTTCCCAAAGCAACAATTCAGAGTGAAAATACCTTTGCATGTCTCATTTTTCTACTTGCTACCAGTGGTTGCGATGTGGGTCAAAAAGTTTACAAGGGATCCTGATGGAAGGCTGTAGAGATGTTTAGTATTAAAAATCCAGAATGCAGAAGCATCTTCTATTTAGCATTAACAAAAGAGCACTGGTTACCTAGCTACCTAAATTTAACAACCTGTGTATCCTATAAGCTATGAGACTTTTCCTCATTACTAAGTGATGGTGTCTCATATCCCTTCCAGATCTTTGAAAAGTATAACCCAGGTAAACGCCTGTGGAGTATAAACCATGTTGTAGGAGTTTGCATGTTCCATAGCACTGTGCTGCCTGAAAATGCAGAGAAGACTAGTGCTAATAGAGGTTGTTCAGGGCTTTCTGCTTGTTTTAGGATGCTGCCAAAAAGCTTGCCAAAATAAAGAGCAGATATGTTGCACCACTCCTCGTCTCAGGGAGGATCTCTGACAACCTGAAGAATCTGTATCAATAGGTCATTTTTGAACCTGTGGAAACTACTAGAAAAAACACTTTGATTCAGTCAGTTCCTGCAGGATTGCCCTTCAAAGCCTGTGTCGTGCTGTGCCTGGTTCTCCATGTGACAATCCTACTGCAAATGTCTTTGGGTAGAGGAATCACTCAGAGTAATGGATCTTATTCTCCAGAAACCAGTGAGATGCATAACTTTGAAATCCATGTGTTGCTCTATACTGGAAATCCTCAGCCATTCATGCTATGATATTTGTCTTGCAGAGCCAAGGAAGCAGAGCATCTGAAACAAGATCTGCATGAAGCCAGGGAGGCTGAACGGAAAGCCAAGCAGAAGCTATTAGACATAACCAGGCTTAATTACCCTGTAAGTTTCTGTTCTGCTGGGCACTGCTTCATCTTGGGAGATAATCATATGTTAATTTTATGTTTGTAGCCTCATCAGGCTAGGTCGTGGCATGTCTACATCTAGCTGCAAGACAAACACCTATAGGACTAGCTGGTGACTGAACAGAGTGTAGCTGGAATTGAAGTTGTATTTGTTAAGGGTATTGAGTCAGGAAGATAAAGGTAAGACAAATATTAGAAAACAAAAATACAACAACAAGAAAACTCTAACCAAACAAAAGCCAAAACAGGACTCATGTTAGTATTTGGGAAGCCTGGATGGTCTTGCCTGCATTCATGCCTGATACTGACTTTGTGCCATCGCAGACAATACTTTGTGGAGGTGGTTGTACTGAACCTGGCATGTGAATTCCTTGTGAGTATCTTCAGGCAAAGCAGGTGAAGCTGTCACTAGCAAGAAGTTGTTGCTAAGGCAGTGTGCCCCAGTCTCTTCTGCTTCAGTCTTGCTGAGAATGGATTTCCATTCTCTGCTGAAATAAAGATAGCTAAGGTACTTTTCTGCACTTGGATTTGTGGCTTGTGGACTTTGGGCACTCGTCTGGGGCCACTCAAATAGCGGGGAAGGTCTTCAGGAGCATCTGTTTCTCATAATCCATGGGTAGCTTGTGAAATGGCTCAGCAGGGCACTCTTGAAGAAGATGGTGAGATAAAACCAAAATCAAACAATCAAATCTTACTGACAGTGCTTGTGTTGCCTCTTTCAGCACATGGTCAAGTACCCGCAATATTTGCCAACGGACACTAGAGATGCCAACTTTGACAAAGGGTCCATCAAGCTGGATTTGAAGGACGTTGACCTGAAGAGACTCTCCTTTGAGATAGAGCGAGAGAGGTATCAATATGCTTATGGTGTAAATAAATGAAATTAATCGTGGGAAGTACAGAAAGCAAAAATTCTCAGGGAATCATAGGCTACATCCTTAACAACTGAGGATGGTCTTCTCCTTGTATGTATGAATGGAGGCCTTTTACTGAGATGGTGCAGGTTATGTCTTTGTAAAACTAGCTGTTTTGCAAAGAGGAAAAGTTTTGTGGTGCCATCAGTCCATGACTGATCCAGAACCCTCCTGTCTTGAAGACCAGTAGGCCAGGCATGAACTTTGCTGGAGTAACGTTAGAGGACAGAAGTTTCCCTCTAGTGTTAAAGCGTGGTATTACTTCCATACAAAGGGGCTTTTCCTCTTGGTATGGAGGTTGATTCTTGGTAAAAAGTTAGTGAATGCTGAAGAGTGGAAGTGAACCACCTCACTGGAGCAAGGGAGTCAGGCAGACATGTGCCAGACATCATTTTGCCAATACAAGAAAAAAAAAAGGCAAAATGAAGCAAAGAACTGCCTCTCCTCTCTGTATGCACTTGCTTCCCTCAACCCCTACTCATGAGTTATGTTATGGTAGTAAGCTTTGTGTCTCTAATGTGTGGACTACAGGCTAGATTACTTAGAAAAGAGCAAGAAATTTGAAGATCGACTGAAAGAACTCAAGTCTGAAATTCATGCTTTGAAGCTAGAAGAAAAACAGTCTGGGCTTTACTCTCATTGGACTGAAGTCCTGGGATCCTTGGATCGCTCCTTAGGAAATGTAAGTATCCTAAATACCTGCCTCTTTTTCTGGCACAATGATAATAATATATATATGTATGCCAAAGGTAATTGCTATATTTCAATTCAATGTACATTCTTTAGGACCTTTGATACTAAAATATTTTAAGTGATAACAGAGAAGAGGACTAGTCATGACAATAAATAAAAAAAAATTCCATGGCAGGATACCAGTAACATAAACAAAAAAATAATAATTTGTTTTTCAGGTTATGAAATCACAGTAAGGTTTACTGTCATGGAACAAACTAAATTCTTGTAACTTAATGCATTTAAATGTGGTTTCTCATAGTTTGCATCACATTCTCATTCACGTGCTTTGTGGTTGCTATTAATCTCTTGTAAAAGTCTTGGCTTTTTTTTTTTTTTTCCCCTTCAGGCAGTGAGGAACTAAACTCAGATCTTCGTCATAAGTTTCTTGTTACTTACATAAACGCTCTTCCTGAACCAGGGGAAGAATAGAGCTGTCTTTGCTTTTCCAGATTGCTCCACATATAATAAAAAATGGCCCTAAGTAAACTGTTTGAGAGAGAAGGGAGGCTTGGAAAAAATGAGGAAAGATGGCCTGTGTGCTCTGGCTGGCTATGCATTTGATGTTTTCTGGCTTAATGAATGTTGATGGGGAGAGGGCATTAATTTTCCATGTGTTCTTTTCTTTTAAAGACCCCGTCATGGATGAAAACCTTCGAAACTGGAGATTCGCTGGATATAAATCTTCAAAGACCTTTCCCTGCTTACTCATTAAATACTACAAGCAGCTGGCCTTGTACCAACAAAATTCAGCATGCAGTGCCAGTGGAAAAGTCATCTTTTCAAACAAATTCCTTGGTTGCCAATAGTGTAGGCACAGGATCCAGAAAACAGATTATAAAGGTAATCAGATTTATAAGTAAATTCCCAAATATTGACTAGAGGCTTTAGAATTCAAAGAAGTAAAGAATGGCTGGCTTTAGGGAATGGTTTTATCCAGCTCTGTCACAGCCTCTGAAATGACAGGCCACAAAGCATGGCTGTTCCACAGGTTTGGAGGCCCTGCACTGGAGCAGCATTCAGGGCTGTTGAGGCCACTTGATTTTTCTCACTTATGATCTAAGCCTTGGTAAATGAAAATGATGCCCATATGCAGTAGGAGGATTTGTTAAATTTTATTTGTATCAGCCAGGCTTGGAAATGAGAATGTGCTCTGAGAGAGCTTAAAACAGACTGCCAATCTTTCTGGTTTTAAGGGATGGGGATAAAGATATCAAAAAATGCCTAGATTTCTACAGCTCAGTTCTTCCGTCATTTCTCTCAAAGAATCCTAAAATAATAATGAATTGGGTCTTATAAAACAAAACAATTTTTTAAACTTTACTGGAATGGAAAACATAGTACGTGTTCAAGAAGAACGGTAAGATCGTGCACTCCTGTACATATGGAAGGAAATCAGCTTTCTTCAGGCAATGCTAATTGTGCAAGATACTACAAATAAAGTAAGCCTGATGTATTTGCTGTTTTCTATGAACAGAACTGGGGATTTTCAGGATCAGTCAGAGTGTCTAGCATGCAACTTCCAAGGTCAGAACCTAGAGGACTGTAGACTTAGAACTAAAAGGAGAATAGTTCAGTGTAGCAGCAATTGAGGAAGCAGCTCTTTCTATTGCAAATAAGAGAAACAAATATTTTAGGACTAACCTAATGTAGACAGTTGTGAGGCAAATAGGCTTGTTTCAAGAGGGAAGAAAAACCATTTGCAGGGCATGTTGCAAAAGGCTCTAGTTTGACAAAACAGAAGAATTAGACCAAAACAAAGTAGGCTTTGCTTTCTGTAGGAATTCAAAGTAGAACTAATTTTTCTTATTTAATTTGCACCTAGGTTCAGCAGCATGACTCGGATGTGATCTACATTTGAAGAGTCTTGTTTCCTTACCAGACGGGTAGAACCTGATTGCTGTCTGTTTGGCTGCTGCAAAATGCACCTATGGGAGGACATTCGTGCAGCTCTGTCTCCTGACAGTCATCGGCATAAAGACTTGGTTCTATCGTTATTGGTGCCATTCGGTTTCCAGGCAGACAACATAAGCTGGGAGCATTAAAACTGCCGGTGTAAAATGGCTGGTGTCTTTGGGTCCAACGGTAAACATACAAACCCAAAGGAGCATTGTTTACTTTTTATGCACTTTTGAAAAAACACTTTACACTTCATTGAACCTTCCCCCTGGGTATTTTTACACACTGACTTACCAGCTTGGTACTCTGTGTGTGTAGAAAGGATGCCAGGCAGCGAGTGTCTGGGAGATGTTTGGGATGAGGAAAAAATAAATAAATTGTACGTGACCTTAGTGTTTACCTCCACAATAGACTAATTCTGTTTTTGGTCCTGTCCATAGGGCATGACTCTCACAGAGCTGTTCAACGTTTTAGTGTTTGCCTGCCAAATATTTTCCTTTTCCTCCCAAAATGTTTCTCTGTTCACTTAATTGATTTGCATTTCTCTGTGAGAAATCTCAGCTTGTAATTCCAGATGTAGAATTGGACATCTTCAAATACCTCTCATTCCTGGGGGAATCCTTTATTTGGAATGCAAAGCTTCTGTTCTCTCTACAGTTTCTGACTAGATCAAGCACTTTCTGTTGCTTGCCGCTCCAGCAAACTTTGCATACATTAACTTGTTTCCCAATTCTCTGTAACACAGCTTCCAAATTAGACAAAGACAAAAGATGTTATTGGTGTCTGCTAAAGTTGGACTTGCTTTTGATGGAGAGGTGCGTGCAGCAAAATGTCTGCCTCATTAGTAAAATCTACTTGCATTTTCTAGTTTTGTGTGTGTTTAAGTGCCTGTTTGACCAATAAATCCTCAGTCTGAGGATTTCTGGGGAAGCGGAGACAATACGCAGCTGTAGCTAAAGTAGTAGCACAGTTGAGCATGTGAAATGTGATGTAAAAAATGGATGTTAATGTTAAATATCTAGTTCTAAAGGCTTAGAATAAAAAATACATTCAATAAAAAGCTTGAATTTTCACTTGCTAGTAACAGCTTTGAACCGAATGGTGTGTCAATATTGCAACAACATTAACAAGGCAAGTTCCAAGAACAAACATGCAAATCCCCTCTGTATCCATCTACAACAGACTGAGAGCACAGTGGGAGATAGCATCTGTAGCCAGCTCCGTTCTCAGATTTTTAACAGTCCTGACAGTTACACTGCAAGATACACAGAACAGCTATCTGCAGTGGTGTCCTGGTGTCTTTTTTTTTTCCCAGCTGTAAGAGTGGTTGCTGCTGCTGTCTGGCAGGGAAAGGGAGGGCTGTTAATTCTCTTTATGGCTCTCCTATGATGTTTGCAGGCTGTTGGCTATTACACGTATAGTTTCTGATTGGTCTGGGGAGGAGCGTTCCTTGTAAGATGGAGAAGACATAAAGGGGAGAGGCAGATGCTTTGGGGGCCCTAAGGTTGAGCTGGTGGCACTGGCCAGAACTGGGCAGTGAAGGTATAGGAAGTAGTCTTAGGGGAAAACAGTGAAAAGCAACTCAGAACTTGGCATTCTCAGATTTTTCCAGGGGGAGAGGAGTGGGATAAGGAAAGCTGGCATTTCCCTGGTTTTGTATTCCTGTTTCTTCTTGGTATTGCCGCAAATGATGAAGTTTATACCCTCGTTCTGCCACGTGTGCTGAGGCTTCCTTTCACTGTTGTATCTAAGCTGCATCATTGGACATGGCAGGAGTGAAATGCTCCACATACATGATTTATTCATTTCTTTGGACTCGATTGGTGAAATCCTGTATTGTCACACTGAAAAGGAGGACATGACCATGTTGCTGCCAGATTAAAAATGAAGCCTATCTCCACGAGTTGTTCTCAGTCTGCTGGTTCACAGGTATTCTTGCTGCGCATTGCTAGTCTGCAGCACCATGTTCTTGTGTACTTGTACAGGTGTTGTTTGAAAGGTGATAAAAACGCAAGAAATGCTTGCAGAACAACAGGTGAAATCAGAGGTACTGTGTTGCTGGGAAGGCACTCCAAAGAGAAGTGCACAAGGGCATTAATTTGCTTAAAACCTAAATAGATACTTGAGACAATTATACTTGTGTGTTGGCGCTTCTGATGCTAATCAGTCATTGCATGATTCCTCATCCTGGAGAGCGATGTATTTATCTGAGGATGCTGTCAGCATCTTTGAACATTTGAGGCTGGAGATGGTGACTATGCTGAAGGCCTGTGGACCTGCAGGCAGCCGTCAGCAGATGGTGCTGCAATGCTGCTCTGCCTCACTGTTCAGCTGTGCTTTACAATAGCTCAGAAAGACCTGGCTATGGGATGGGAAAAGGATTGGCAATCTCTGCCAATTCCCACACCAGCCTGAGCTTGCTCGTATTCCCTTCCTGGAGTTTAACCTGCCATAATTCTTGACGGCAATTCAAAATGTGTAAGTGCTATAGTCTGAGAAGTGATTATTGCACAAACGGCTTAGTCCCGTGGGTATGAGCTAGCTCGCAGTATTACAGAAAAATCCTGTAATAGTCCTGACACATCATTGTCACGATCAGGCTGTGAAAATCGCCTTCTGAGAGGATTGCACCCCTGACTGCCGGAAGCATGTGGGATGCCACAGGTCCTGTACTATTTGATACTTCCATTAATGCTATGTGAAACAAGCACAGGCTTGATAAATTTGTACAACATGGAAATGTGTACTCCAAAGAGGGTGAGAGGCCTGAGAAGTCTACAGCTACATAAAGGGCTACTGCGGGGAGGAAAGAACAAAATCCTCCTCTGTTTCCATGCTGGATAAGACACAATGTTCTGGTCCCAAGCTACAACAACAACAAAAATAGAAGAAGAAAATACTGTAGCAGTGTGGAAGTGCTAGTAGATCACCTGGCGAGCAAGGAAATCTGTTCCTGGAGCGACACTGTGAGTTTTAATCCTCGGTGTGGATGTGAATGACTTTCCACAGCCCTCTTTTCTGTTTCTCTGAAATACCACTTGCTCTAACCCTGAGGGCCTCTCCCTGCCCTCATGAAAAGCTTAGATGGGAAACCACATATTCTTACTCATCTGAGTGCTCCTGATCTGAGCTGTGGGATTGAGCAAATGCTGCTTAGTCCTCACTAGAGTTTACCCAATGGGCCCAGTGCCAGCGAACTGGAGTTGCATCCATTCCTTCATGTCTGATCTGCTGTGATCCCCAGACCCAGTGCCACTTCTGTGCATCCCCTCATCCCACTGCCTGAGCCCCCTGAGGCATCTCAGCATCCTCTGAGACACCATACCCTCTACAGGAACCTGTCTTAAAGATCAGCCAGTCTGTATCCATCTAGCCGGGACCCAGCCTAGCACCGGGAGGTGGGTGCTGCAGTGAGCGTGGCTGGCTCCTGACTCATCTGCCCTTGACCTTTTCCTCCCTGTGCTGCTGTTCTAAGGAGACCAGTCATCAGAGGCATGATGAGTTCACATCCTGCCTTCACTGACTGCTGTTGCAGAATTACTCTCATGCAGGCTTCTTCCTCTTCTTCCTCCACCAGCAGCCTGTCATCCCTGCATCTCGTTTCGGCAGCTGAGGCTGTACTTCTGGCTGGACATGTGCACTCGGAGCCAGCACGATCTATGTTTCCAGGGCCCGAGATTTTTATTCTCTGTTGCTGGAGGCAGATGCCAGCTTCTTGTGTCCTTCCCTGAACGTCCCTGGTGCTCATGTTTAAACCTCAGGAGTGTGTGTGTGTGTGTGTGCGGGGGGGGGGGGGGGGTATTAGGCTGGCCTCCCTAATTTGACTGCCACATGTGCTCCCAGCCTGCTCCTCTGGGTGATGAGGGGTACGCTGGGGATAAAATCCTGTCATGGGAACAGCTGTAATGAGTCCTTTGTGGCAAAAATCACAGATTTTTCTGGGGACCCAGACACCTTAAGTCTAGGCTCTTTGGCCAGTCTCACATTGTGGTGTCGTCTCATGAGGATGCTTGGTGATCTCGGACCATAAAAGCCATGAAAGAGGGACTTTGGAGACCAAAGGTCTGCTCTACAGATGCTCCTGCAAGAGCCCTGGGCACACATAAAATGAAGTAACCCTGCTCTGGCACTACCCATGCTCTCACCTCCGCATGCAGCAATCCTTCCCTCTCATCTCAGACTCATAATGTGGAAGTGAGCCTGAGCCAGCTCTTGCAGAAGACTTTTTCCCTCTCCATCTCTCTGAGGGCTGGGCAGCATGGGCAGCATGGCTGTGGGACTGGGCTGGTAGCAGCAGAGCAGCTCTCCTTCAACCAGGGGCACTCAGCACTGAAACAGAAATCTCCTTCAGGATGGGATAGCTTTCCCCATCGCCATCTGTGTGTCTGCTATCCCTGACCAGGCACATGGACCAAAGCAGCACATGAAAGCCTGCTCTGACGACTCTGCAGTGTAATTAATTTCTAATGGCACTGATTTTCACACAGCTTTATGAGTAAAAGATGGGCCCAGGTGCAAGATTGAGCTCTATGCTGCTATTTCTGGGTTTTGGCACGCCTTTGGCCTTTCCATTTTCCTGCAGCGCCATTTCAGGGGTAGGAGGGTCAGCATTATGAAGGGCTTTGGGCACACAGGGGAGCCGAGCCCTGGGGCTTTGCTGAGATGTCTAGACTGGGGCAGAGAGCAGTTTTCACACCACAGAGCACTTTGAATCAGGAGCGACACCTCTCCTGGGAGCAGAGGGCCCTAATCACGCTCTAACTATAGAGTTACACCCAGCAGGGCTCTGGCATGAGGCCTGCAGGAAGGAGCCGTCCCTGAAGGGTACTAAAGGCCTAATGCTTGCCATTACTCCAGGCTTGGTCCTAAAAGCAAAGGCGGGATGTGACAGCTTGTTATCTGCTAGGCCATAAATGTCTGTGCTCTCCCTGGGGAGCTCAGAGAAGGAAAAAGCCATCCCCTTCAGCTGCAAAGAGCCTGCCGGATGGGACAGCTTCGTGGCTGGGCCTTGGGATTGGGGGAATGCCATGGGTGCTGGTGCTCACAGGGCAGAGGGATTGAAGTGAGAGATTTGGAGGGGCATTTAAGAAACCCCGACTCCAGTGTGATTCCGTCCCGCTTCTTGGGGTTGGGAGGAACAAGGGGAAAAGGTTACAAGCTGATCCCTGAGACAGCATTGTGTCAGTAAATTCAAAAGGGAGATTCCAGAGGAAAAAGAAAAAGAAAAAAAAAAAAAAAAGAGGAACTCAATAGAAAAAGCCTAATTTAAAAAAAGTGTTGTACGAATCTTTTGACTCAGCAGAGAGGCAGTCCAGGAAGCTTGAGGGGCTCTCAAGAGATGATCGGAACCAGGTATGCAGAGGACAAGAGAGGAATAGAAACCTCTGGTCTCTGAGGAAATCTGGTGTGCTCAGGTCCTGCTGGACTGTGGCAGCAAGGACAGCGAGTTGGGCAAGGTAAACGCAGGGAAAATGAAGAGTAAAAGGCTGCCGCTGTGAAACCAAAGTTAGTCCTGGGCAGCAGAAGCAGCAAGCAGCCAGTGCAGGAGATGGGAGTGTTTGCACTGCCTCAGTGCTGCTGCTTCAGGGCAGAGAAAAATGAGATGTTAGAGATGGGAGCGTCCAAAAAGGATACTTGAGAGGAAATTTATACGAAGAGCTATTTTTCAGTGGTTCTAGAATGAGTGGTTGAGCTGAGCAGGCCAGAGGAGTTTCAGAGTGAAGTAGTTAATCGTATATCAAAACCCCACAACCACCGAAACCACCTCCAGTCCTGGAGGGGAACAAGTGAATCTAGCGATCGTCCTGGCAATAGCAGAGCAGGCAGCTGCCTCCCGTGTGGGCCGACTGCCTTTATACATCCTCGTGGAACATCTGATTCCAAGGCAGCATTGCAATTAGCGACACCTTTTAAAAGAGGGCTCCAAAATGCTGCTGTGAACAGGCCCTAAAGACACAGCCGCCCAAATTCAGAAGGAAAACCATACCCCTAGTCTGGCAGGTGTTGGTTGGATGGCAGGACTTAAGTCTCTCTGAATGCTGGTGATTTTTATCTGTCCTGCGTGACTTGGAAACCTCCATGAGA